TAATTACAACAAAATACAATAATATTAAAGATATTCATATCCTCGCAATATTTTAATCACTAAAATTCAAAATATTATATTGATATAAATTTTTTTATCTGGTTATATAAATTTTTAATCAAGATAATATCTAAAAACATCTTTAAACAATAAAGTATTGCATGTGTAATGTAACAAAGAAACTTCATTTCCCTCTCTGTTTTGGCCAGACGCGCCTTTTAATTTTTTAAACATATCATGAGATAAAAAATCCAATCAAATATCAGGCTTCGAAAAAAATAGAGAAAAAATGATGATAAGCCTGCAGAATAGAGGCTATGGATAGACTGGCTTTTTATTTTGCTGTTCCAAGACAACGTACACTACGTCTCTTTTAGTCTTTCTCCTCTTTCTTCTGCTTCCTCAATGCTTCTCTTTCACTTGTCTCTTCTTCCACCGCCTCTCATCAAACTCTAAACTTTTTCTTCTTCTTCTTCGATGGGGTTCAGAAAGCAAAACTAACACGGACCTGACTCTCTAGCTTCAAGGAATGATCGAAAGTTCCTCTCCTTCTCTATCTCTCCCTCTCGTCCTTCCTTCAGATCTGATATGCTTTCTTTATGGCTCATCTTTCGCCTCTTCTTCCTCCGTTGGGAGGCCCCCAAAAAAAAAGGTAACCCACTCTAACCGGCGGTTACCCGGTTAAAAACCGGTTTTTACCGGTTTAATCGGCTTGTTGCTGATTCATTTCATATCCGGTTTAACAACCAAACCAGACCGGATTTCAGTGCGGTTCACTGGTTTTCTAATTGAACCGGTCGATCCGGTCCGGGGTTTTTTTCCTTAGTGAATAGTGACGTTTTCCTGGGGTAAAATATAAGTGGCTTTTCCGAATTGTCTAGATCATTATGCTGCGTATTTTACTTAAATACCCCTCAATGACAGGGATAAGGAGAAAAAGAACTACTCCCTCCATTCAAGATATGTACTAAACTGTTCACCAAAAAAAATATAAACTAAAATTTAAAACTAGTTAAAATCAATTTAAAACAACAAATATACAAGACATATATTTTTTTCCCAAATATGTCATTATTAATTAAGAAAATAAGTAAAAGATACAATAAATAAATTAAAAAGAAGAGATGATATATAGGGCAAAATTAGAAAAAACTTATTAAATATTTAGATAAAAATAAATATTATCTTATAAAAAAACCAAACCCCTCATAGTTTATATTTTAAACCAGAGGAAGTACGAAAGAGTGTTTATCGGTTGTTTTGCTGTTAAACGGCGCGCTGTAAAATGAATACAGCTGGCTTAATTTGATTGGTTAACTTGATATACTCCGATATACTTTTTTCGTTTCTTATTATAAGATTCAATTTTTTAATAGGTTTGGTTTTTTATAAGATTTTTTTAGTTTACCTAAACATTTAATGCATTATTACCTATTTTACTTTTAGTTTAATATATTTAATACATTCTCTTTCTTTATTTATCTTACTATTATTCACTCACATCTATCCATTTATATATAGGGATATATTTGAAAAAAATTGTATTTGCTGGATGTTAATTATTTTTAATTGTTTTCTTAAATTACGTAATTTAGTTAAAAAATTTTATAATAAAAAACGAAACATTAAGTTTTATCCAATTATGATAAGGTACAAATTGATACGGTGAGTTATTCTTAACTGACATGTTAAATCAATACCAAAGATAATGGTTTATGTTTAGGACCGACACCACGTGAGCCACGCCCACAAACAGGAAAATGGAGATATAAGGAGAAGACAAAAGGTTTGACCAGTAATGTTGAACTTGAATCTGATTTCCACGCGCGGCCAAAACAGACCATTTCACATTTCCGATTTGTCGCGGTTAACTAACTATACAATGCCCCTGTGCCCGAACTTGCCATAGGAATAGTTTATTTAACCTTTTATTTTAGATTAAAATATACATTTAGTCTTATAATTTTATGTAAGGTTTCAGTTTTATCTATTAACTTTAAAAAATATATTCTTAGTCATTTAATTGCGAAATTGTTGGTCTTAAATGTTAATTTTTTTTATAACAATCATAGTTATTTTGAATATTAAATTTAATATGTTAGCATTTAATATTATTTTATTAACATTCAAGAGCTGTATATCATTATTTTTTGTTAGCAGTTTTAGGATTAGAGGACTAAAAATTTACTTTTTAAAATTAATGGATCAAAATAAAATCTTGTACAAAATTAAAGGACTAAAAATATACTTTAGCCTTTAATTTATTAAGATTAGTTAAGTAATTTTAATGGTGGGAATCAATATTGTAAGAATTTAATAATCGTAGACACTGAATTATACCAAAAAATATTTAGATAGAAATTAAATCATAGTTTTAAAAATAATTTTATAGTATATAAAATAAATATGTAAAAAAAATTTTATTTCGATTTATGTAAAATAATTTTTTAAAATTACTTTTAAGTTTAACCAACACTCGATGAATAAAAAGTTTTAAAAGTAAGTTTTATATGAGTCAAAAGTAAAAAATGATGAATACTCCTCCGGTCCTATTAATATGATTGAGAGATAAGTTTTTTTTATTGTTTTATTTATAAATTATTTTATTAAATTTTTAATATTAAATTTTTAACATAAATATATTATTTTGTTTTTTATTTATTATAGTATGAATAGCTATAGTATTTTTTAAAATATGTATATATTAAATAAAGATAAAATTAAAAAATTGTTGTATTTTAATAATAAGTTAATATAATTTAAAATTTTTCTCAATCGTTTGAACATGTTGAAATGGGACCAGTTTTTTTCAGTTTATATTAAGAGAAAGGAAAAAAGCATCAACATGAATCAGGCTAAAGGAGTACGACTTAAGGCACAGAATCGAAAAAGGATTCCCTTTTCTTTTGACCAGGGACAAAGGATTTCAAAAAGACAAAATTGTCGGCACAAGACATTCAGAGGGTGTTTGATAAGATAAAAAAAATACTTTTTAGAAACATTTTTTCTATAAAATGAAATATATTTTTTCATATATTTATTTCGTATACTGTAAAAATATTTTTAAAATTATAGTTTAATTTCTATCCAAATATCCTCTTAGTCTTTTTATCTTTTATCCTTTGGAATCTAACAAAAGGGGTAAAGACACCTACTTTTGTTAATTTAATTTATTTCTTTAATATTATTTATAAATCATTTTTTTACATAAATCTAGAAAAGTTTTAAACTTTATTAACTCCCATTTAAAATTCAACAATTTTTTAATTTTATTTCTATTTAATATATATTATTTTTTATATAAATAAAGTCAACACAATACTCCTTTGGTCTTTTATTATAAGATTTAATATTTTAAATGGATCTGTCCTTTTTTATAAGATTCTTTTTGAATTTGTTTGAATATTTAATGCATTATTATTTATTTTAACTCTAATTTAATACATTTAATATATTCTCTTTCTTTATTTATCTCATTATTACTCTCTCATATTTACTCATTTATATATAGGGGTACATCTAGGAAAACATTGCATTTGCTACATATTAAATATTTTTAACTAATTTTAACTGATTTTTTAAACGGAAAAATTTAGTTAAAATGATCTTATAATAAGAGACAAAAGGAGTAATAAAGAAAGAATAAAATTGTATATTCATATAAAATTTTTTTCCCAATACTTTATAAATAGAATAAACAAAATCTTCTTTTTCTATCCTATAAATAAAACCACATGAGTATATTACAAATGGGACCTGTATTTGGGACCAGAAAAGCAGTAAGTACTCGCTCCGGTTTTATTCATAAGCTTCAAATTTGAAAAAGTGAAGTGGTCTATTTTATAAGCTTTACTTTAAATTTGTCTTAATATTTGATGTATTTTTTTTTTCAATGTTACCCTTATAAATTTCTCTTTTATCATTTTTCTCATAACATATATAGAAACAAAAATATATTTTTAACCTATTTATTATTTTTGACTAATTTTAACTAATTATTTGTTATATATGAATTGATTATTTGAAGTTTATCATAAGCACCAGGGGAATAATAAATTATAAAGTTAACGAGACATTCGCAGTTTGGAAGGGTAAATTCCTTAATATGGCGTGATGGATTGTTGGCGTCGAATTTATGTTTTCTGCCTCACCCAACTACCAGATGCAGGTCGTGCGTGCTACTTCCCAAGGGTGTTCTGAAATCTGAATATGATTGAAAAATGCAATTAGTGTTTTCCTTTGGAATCAAAGACAGGATGGGAGGAAGATTCACCTTGTTGCCTGGGATAAAGATCAAACAAGATGAAGTTGCTGGGGCACTTCGGGTTAAAGACCTTCGTTCTCAAACGATACATTCACGAACTTTCAAAAAAACAAACTGACCGGTTTTGTAATCCATATTTTATCGCCAAAATGTAAACTGTCATATGGTAACGACAGAGCTATTACCTGAGCAGCAAGTGCTCGTAGTTACGAATGGCACAACGATTTTTTGACATTTTGTTTGTTGCTGTCTATAGATGATGGCTTTCACGGATATCTCTACGACCGTTAAATAATAAAAAGAAAAAATTTCTTCTCAAATATATTATTCAGGTTGTGTTTAGAAACTGTAAAAAGCGGTTTTTTTTACAAAAATATTTTTTCATAAATCAAAATAAATTTCCCTATATATTTACTGTCTATATCATAAAATCACTTCTGAAATTATGATTTGGTTTCTATCTAAATATCCTCTGATCTGATTTTAGGAGTGCTCGGTAGCTCGTTGTCCGGCTGGGGTGGAGTTCATATGGTTCCCGATAAGTCTCGTTAAATTTCGGGTTTTATTTTTAGTTTTTCCTGATAAGACATTAAAAAGAAATTAATTAAATAAATATTAATTAATTTTAATTGCAATTTGCCTCAGCCAGCCAATCTACGACACCCAAAAAGTCGTTTTAATTTTAGCCTGCCTGGCTAAGACTTGCAGACAAGAAGTCTCCGAGCTAGACCCCCCCCCCCCCAAAAAGAAAGGCTCGAAGTTGCTGCGCAGAGTGAGTGTATTTCCGCTTTGATTTCCTCTTACGTTTCTTTCTCTTCAATCAGGTGACCTCCTTATCTTTTCTGTCGTTTTTCGACTCGTCCTGTGATTTCTTCCCACCTGGTTTTCAGCTAAAAGTTGTTATCTACTTTGCTTTCCGAATTTTCTTTGTTTTGAAGGCTGTGAGTCTCGCAATGGTTAATTGAGCACCGAGAGGTCTTTAAATTTTTTGAGAGGTTTCTGCCATGGCAAACAACTTAACGGGGCAACTTGTTTGTTCAGAGATACATGGATTCCATACATTGCAAGGTGCATCCGTGCTTCCACTCCTTTCTTTTCTGATCATCCCAAACGAGAGGCCTATTCTATTTTCTATTTCCTGTTGTACTCTCCCTCTCTCTGCTTTATTTTTATTTTCAGCCAAAAATGACCTGAAGCTTCAAATTTTAGTCTCTTCTTCCTCTTCTTTTTCCTGTTTTTACTGTTATTTCTGTTTTTTTTTTTTTTTGGGGGTGGGATGGTTGCTATTTTTTGCTTGCTTTTGGAGTTAGTTTGTCTGGAAAAATGCAAGAGTGCAGTGTAGAAAGCGGCCTATAAGTGAAAAAGAGACGGGTCGTTCTAAATCATGTCTCGTGAATGAAGTAAAAATTACCGGAATTTCTGGATAGCGCCCACGGGATCATTAGATTTGGTTACAAAATTAACTTTCTCTTAATTATCAACAGAAATGAGTGATTAATGTCGGAGGATTCTTCTACAGTGCACTTGAAATGATGTAGCTTCAGCAAAAGCTGAAGCCCACTTGGAATAATTCGTAGTGTTTCCTGAGAACAATATGGAATATAAAATGGACGGAAAATTGTTTCTTGTAACTAGGTGAAGTGCCCAAAATGTAGTATATGTTATATGTTAGTACCTCACGCAGTGAGAAGTGCAGGGTAATGGCGTTAGAAGCTTGGAATTGCAATATGTGTGTTGACTTCTGCTAGATGTTCAGATAAATGCGATAACATCAAGCTATGGAATGTCTGTATAACTCATAAATCAATTGAGATATCATATTATTTCGCCAGTTCTTAGACTTTACTGACAGGAAAGAGAGAAGTAATATATTTGGATCTGGAATGGTGGTTTGTCATAATCCTAACTTTCGGTTTGATATGATAGTATATCACGGGGTTTGGTACAATAGTCCTCACTTGTACCTCTTGACATGGGGTTAAAGAAGGCTGACAACTTATTAGTTCACTGTGCGCTTTTGTTTTCCTGGTTTCAAATCCTACCTGCACTACTTAGTGATTGGTTAGCGATCAATGACTTCGATTATCTGTATGTATTGATCTTTTTCTAATTTTTCTAAAGTATTTCTTTGATGTGGCCCCAGAGCTGGATGTTAGGAACACTATGGAGGAAGCAAAAAGCAGATGGCTTCGCCCTAATGAGATTCATGCTATACTTAGTAATTACAAGTATTTCACCATCCATGTAAAGCCAGTGCATTTGCCTCCAAGTAATCATCTATTTCTGGCAGCAATATGATTTTGGTAAAGTGGATGTGCATGCATCATTTTCATGCTGATCCACCATTCGTCTTCATATTGTCTATTCATCATATTTATTACTGCCTTTTGAATTTCCATCGATCACTTCCTTCTGATAGAATGGTTTTTCACATGACATTGTCACGTCAGATCATTTGTCAAACTAAGCTTCTGCTGTAAATATAAAGCATGTCTGGACATTTGTGTCTAAATGTGTGTATGTTGTTAATGAAGCAATCTGAGGTCACACTGTGATAATTCTGTTCATAACGATCTTGTTGATTGATAAAAGGTTGAGTGTAATTTTTTTTTTTTTAAATTATTTTACATGAGTTACAAGTTTCCTGTTTAGCTACCGTTATATGATGTCAAACCAGGGACATTGATATCTTTTTTCCCCCCAACATTAAAATGAAAAACAGGTGGTACTATTGTTTTATTTGACCGCAAGATGCTTAGGAACTTTCGGAAAGATGGATACAACTGGAAAAAGAAAAAGGATGGAAAAACTGTGAAGGAAGCTCATGAACACTTAAAAGTGAGTCTTCTCTTTTTCTTAGGGTGTTTATTTGCGTTAATGTTAAATTTATGGCACCTAATGTGTCTCATTCTTGAACTTGTATTTAAAGAACATTAATCATGTTATGGTTATGAAGGAATTTACCATGTATTAGCATGATGAATTCTTCTTTTTCTTCTGTATTTATGGACTTTCGTGGAGAATAAATAATATTTTGGCTTACACATGGCAACCAGTAGCCTGCTAAGCGTTGGGTTTGGAAAATTCTTGACAATGCTTCTTTGTACTTGGCCAAAATTTTCAGCAGTCTTTGATGTGCTCTCTTCTATAATTAGAAATTTCTTGTTGGGAATTTTGGCATTTACAAGGTTTGGGTATCAAATACTTGTGTAATTAATTGGGTGCTGTTGATTTACATGTTTACTCTCTTTGCTTTATAAGTTATAATTCACGAACCTAAAGTTTTTGCACAATGATTCAGTTACATATCGGTCTTTCTTTCTGTGTGACATTTGGGCAACATTTTCATCTTTTCTTTTTTTAATTTTTAAAAATTTTTCTGGCTAGCAGTTATTAATTTCTGCCTTTATGTTTCTTTTTTTTTGGGGTAAGAAAAAACATTTGTATCAAATGATAGTTTTCAAAATGCATGATCATCTTTCCTTCCTGCAGTTTTTTGTTGCAAGTGCTTTTGATAGTGGATTGAATAATTGGCAACATTTGCAGTTTCTACTTTTAGACATTTATTCTAATCATTTTTCCCCCATTAATCAGGTTGGTAACGAAGAAAGGATCCATGTATACTATGCACATGGCCAAGATAACCCAAGTTTTGTGCGTAGATGTTATTGGCTTCTTGACAAGTATGCATATCTTTAGTTAGCTTAACTCTTGACACCTCAGTTATGCACGTCCAAACTTCTGTAGTGTGCTTATATATTACCTGTGCCTTATTGGTTTAATGGCAACTTCGATTTGACTCATGATTGTTCTTTTGATCCCCCCCCCCCCTTCCAGGAGTCTGGAGCACATAGTTCTTGTTCATTATCGTGAAACACAAGAAGTAAGATTGTTCTCTTCCTATCTTTTGCTTTCTTCCTTTGAGATTCAAAAGATCTGTTTCGCCCAAAAGTATGACTAAGGAAATTGATTTGCATCTTGCATTGCTGATTTGGAAGTACATATACTTTACCAACATGCATTAAGTCAGTATGTGATCTTAGATCTGAGATCGAGGCATACAAACACATCATACATATACCACAATTTTAGTCTATATGCTAAATTTCTTACAGTTTTCTATTTCTTTGGTTGGAGATTTTCATTTGGTGTCTGGGCGGATGACATTATATATATATATATATATATATATATATAGCCTTGGTCAAACAGCATGAACTAGTCACTTCTGTGCTCAACGGGAATTCCTAAGTTCCACATTGGATGTGTGTAGCGGGTTACTTGATGGTTAAGTATATAAGCTTCAAGAGATGAGTAAGATAACTGGACTATTTTAGGCCATATGTTCATTTCGCCTATTCTGGGCCAACGGGACTTGAGGAGCCTTTTATCATCTGAAAGTGTGATATCTTGGGCCCCAGTGCAGAGGTTGTCAAGGATCATTTCAGCTAATGCCTAAGATAGCAATTGAAGGTTTATGATTAATTTTATTGATATCTGTTGGAACCCAAAGAAAATTCTGGTATTAGACGTCACAAAGCTGAGTTACGCCCTCTGAAATAGTAACAAGAGGAGAAAAGAGCTCAGGGAATTACAGAACGATAGAACCACACAGCAAAAAACAAAAAGAACAAAAGAAAGCTCCTCGCTTAGACTCAATCCTCTAGATTTTAAGACGCTAGAGTCTCTCCCACGCTATACTCAATTGTTCCTCACCTCTCACTGTCCCCTCACTCCCAATATATATTTGCTAACAATGGCCCTATTGGCTCTGTTACCCTCTCACGCTTCACACCTAGTTACTGAGGTGACCCTTAATTATAGGCCCATCAATGACTCTCATATCTTAAAATGTTGCTAATTGAAGTATGATATCTTGGCCACCACGTGGTTTTGAAACCGTCCGGGATTAGTTGGGTTTGGATCATGAATTGTTAAAAACTAACTTTGAGATTGTCAAGTATATTCTATGTATGCTTATATAAACTATCCAAACTATTGGACTACTTTAGCTTGAGTCTTTGAATTCAGTTGTTTCTAATGGTGCTGCTTTATCATTCCTATCACGTTGCATATTATTAAAGATGATTTCAACCCAAAAATTTGTATACTTAATGAAGGCCCATGAATAGTTTTTATTATAATTGCGAACATGTTCTATCACACAAAAAGCCCAATGGGCTTAAGTACGGACAAAGCACAACCATTCCTTTCTGTTTAAAGTTGAACTTAATTAAGAGAATGGAGGGTGGTGAGAATCAAACTTTTTTTCATACTATGTCATTTCAACCCAAAAGCTTGAGCTGTTAACTGGAGGCTTTTAAATAGTTCTATGATCATCTCTAACATCTATAATGCCTGCTTTTTGTTGTTTTTGTTTCATACTTTATCTGAGTTGTGGTATCCAACTTTCCTTGTTTGATTGAAACTTACAGGTTATTAATGCCACAAGAATACCATCTCATACTCAAAATAAATATAGTTCCCTTTCAGCAATATTATAAACTCGCAAATATTTCTTTTCACCAAAGTTAAATGGAACAGACTTTTGCATCCACACATTGTCCTCAATGAGGTGAAACAACTTTTATTTCTACTCGCAGTCTCGAGCACTGTACAATAAACTCTCACTCTGTGTGTGTGTGTGAGCTGCATATTTTGGCATCAATATCTCATCTATAGTAGGTGTATTGCCTATCTCTGTGTAGGACTACTTGATGCAGCTTTATAATTAGGCTTGCACTTACCGTCCATTTAATCTGGATGATGAATACGATTTGGTAGGTTGATCTGTTGTTTATGATCCAGTTGCAGGGCTCTCCAGCTACACCTGTAAATTCAAACTCTAGTTCGGTTTCTGATCCTACTGCACCATTGATTTTATCAGAAGAATTGGATTCTGGGACCAACAATCCATATGCTGGTGGTGAGAACGAATTTTAGGATTTAGTGTAATTTATTGCAAATTAGACCTGTAAAGAATTTTCTATCTGTAGATATATAACTACCTCTGATCCGCAATATAAGATCTAAATTTTATATTTATGACCAGAGGTAGTAGTAAACTACAAGATGCAGGCCAGTGAATGACGTGGAATGAACATGGCCCATACCTAATGACAAGCTGCATGTCTCTTTATATTGAGTTCCCCCCTCCCATCTCATCTTTCTCTCCCTTATCTTTCCCAAAGATAGCCATTGATTAGAGTTTATTTTTATTTATGATGACATATGGTAGTAGTATGTTAAAATATGGTATTTTGATGATGTTGTGGATGCTGTTGTTGACTTTCTATGATGAATGATATTTCTGATCCGTTTTTGTGCTTTGGAGGTAAGCAGGAGTTAATGACAATTTGAAGCTCAAGAGTCATGAACTGAGGCTTCTTGAGCTCAACACACTTGAATGGGATGATCTAGTGGTTACAAATGACCTCAACAATTCTACCACATCTGCTGGAGGTAAAATATCGTGGATTCAGCAGAATCAGTTGCTTGTTTGAAAAGCACCTTCTCATCCTTTAATTCTGATATGACTTTTTGTAGCTAAGGTTCAATATTTCGATCAACAAAGTCAGTCTTTGCTGAACGGCAATTTGAGCAATGTAAGATCTTATCTTTCCTTTATTTATATGTTCCTTTTGTCTTATTTCTGCTTATTGGACAGTTAACTTCTGTGATTTCTTGTCAAAGCCTCTGTCCTTTAGATATAAAAATACAATTTATTAAAAGGGCTGGTTTTGTCTCGCTTTTTTAGGAAAAGATTCAAATGATGGCCATGAATTTAGCTTCCACCGTTTCACATGACCATCTTCACTATTATAATTGTTTCTCTTGGGATGATAAGAAGTTAGGAAACTATTTCTGTCTTATCATAATATAATATTTTTCAAATCACCTGTAATCACTTTCGAAAAGCTGCAGCCAGGTGAAAGAGGCCTTGAAATGACTGTGCTCAAATGATTGTTGGTGCTACTTAATACTATTTCGGACTTCCTGTATTTTTCCTCTTTTCTAGGGGTTCTCATTTGTGGCTTAGACCTAACTTTGCCTATTTATTCTAGCTGACAGAACCAATTGACTGTTGACTAATTTTACATATTTATGCAACATTGAGTTTGCATCACTGAATCGTTTAGGTGAAGGCTCTAAGTATAGTTGTATATGTTATGCATAAAACATATAACGAGATTGCTTGAGTACGTTAAATTATTTAGCTCAAAACTTTGTTCATACTTTGTGCTAGCTTCTGTGGTTACTTCTATTGGGTTTCTGTCACCAGGTAACTAGCAGTCTGTCTGCCGAAATCCCTTCTTTCGATAACATAACACAACCTGTTACTGGGAGCAACGGTGCACCTTATGGTTTCCCAGAAACTGTAAATCCTCAGACAACAGAAAATCTAGCAAATCTGAATGCACAAAAGGGATATCCTGTCTCTGCGGGTGGTGTTGATTCCTTGGACACTTTGGTCAGTGATAGTTTGCAGAGTCAGGACAGCTTTGGAAGGTGGATCAACCACATGATTTCCGATTCACAATGTCCTGTGGATGAGTCAGCTCTTGTATCGCCCGTTATATCTATTCAAGAATCATATTCTTCTCTGGCAGAGGATCATCAGCAACCTTGTCTGCCCGAACAGCTTTTTAACATCACTGATGTCTCACCTGCATGGGCATCTTCCACTGAGAAGACCAAGGTTTTTTTTTTCTCCCTTCCTATTCTTATCTATCTACTTCCAAGTAATTATTCTCTATTATGACTGTGTTATTTGGTTTGCTATATGATTCTGCACCTCTTTAGTAATAAAACATGCTTGTAAACTTGAACGTTTTGAACACTAGGAGAAACTCCATGGCTGATTTCTCAGCTTTTTTTATATAGCAAGTGCATTTTCAGTTGGCATCTAAGGTAGCAACTCTTGCTGCTTTGTTCTGAACAGTTTTTTGCACGTTTCAAAAGCTTTAAAGATTAAGTTCAGCTTAGAAATGCAAAGTTTCTCTTCTTTCCCTATGCAAATAAATGAATTTTCTTTTGGCATCAAAAGTAGCAATCTGTTGCTAATTTGTCTTGTACAACAAATTATTCTTGGAAAATTCAAATGCTTTAATCGCAGAGAGCTAAACTCCGACATAGTTCTGTTTTATGTATAGATAAATGCATTTGTAGTTGGCGTTAAAGAACTATATCATGCTACATCAATGCAAATCGTCACTTCGGATTTTACATATTTAACTGGCATGCAGTCAACTTCCATATTAACTACCATGTATTTTGATTTTGTTACTGGACTTTCCGATGTTCCTATACTTCTTGCAGATCCTGGTCACTGGAGTCTTTCATGATAACTATCTACACCTTGCAAAGTCCAACCTATTTTGTGTCTGCGGCGACATAAGTGTTCAAGCTGATATTGTTCAACTTGGGGTCTACCGATGCTGGGTATCATCACATTCCCCGGGATTCGTTAATCTTTATATGAGCCTTGATGGTCATAAGCCCGTAAGCCAAGTTGTCAATTTTGAGTATCGTACTCCAATTTTGCATGACGCTACAGCCTCTATGGAAGAGAGGTACAACTGGGCTGAGTTTCGACTTCAGATGAGGCTTGCTTGTTTGCTCTTTGGTACTCATAAGAGTCTTGATATTATCTCTAGTAAAGTACGGCCTAATGCAATAAAGGAGGCTAGGAACTTTGCTTCAAAGACCTCATTGGTTTCCAAAAGTTGGCAATACTTGGTTAAGTCAACTGAAGACAACAAAACTCCATTTCCTCAAGCAAAAGATGCACTGTTTGAAACGTCCTTGAAAAACGGATTAAAGGATTGGCTATTAGAAAGGATTCTATTGGGCCGTAAGACTACTGAATATGATTCGCAAGGTCAAGGTGTAATCCATTTGTGCGCAATTCTGGGATATACTTGGGCTGTTTCGTTGTTTTCAGGATCGGGCTTATCACTGGATTTTCGTGATAAATTTGGATGGACAGCTCTTCATTGGGCAGCATATTGTGGAAGGTACATATTTATGCACTCGGATATCCGACTAGCTTAATCCATTAAGTTTGTTGCGGCCTAATTGACTCAATTTCTTTTTGCCGGTATGGTTCCACTGTTCAAAAGTCAAATTCTTCTCTCTATCTTTTTCTCCCTAGATAAGCAGATTCAAATATATAACCACCTGAATATAGCATCACTTTTGCTTATTACCCTTCCATGCAGTAATGCTTTCATGCAACTATACAAGTTTTTCTCCCTTTAAATCCAGTTAGATATTTGAATGTACTTGTATTGTTCATCTCATGGTTGATGAGGCCGTGTTCGAACTGACTGATCAACCAGGCTGAATATAAGATAGAAGTAGGGAGAGTTCAAGTATGGGTTTTTATTAACCGAGAAACATAAGCCAGGTCGGTTGAACAGGAATGTTGGCACTTTGCAATAATGAGATTTTATTTATTATTAACTGGATGCTTATAAGCAAACATCTCATACCTAGGCCAACTGCCTTTCGAATATATACTGTGATGTTATAGACAAGGAGTAAATCAATAAATAATCCGACTTATGTGAGCCTTTGATAGAGTAAGTCATATTGGACTTGCAAAATCTGTAGCTTCGTTTCCTTAAAGTCTTATTTATTTATTTTTTTTAAAAGAGAGAATTTCTGATATATATATATTAATCAAAATGAAACCCATCATATTAATGTTTTATTTTAAAAGTTGATTAAAGTTTATTTTATTATTATATGTTTAGTTAAAGTAGTAAATACTAACAGAATAAGGTATACAGACATATCTATTAATACAAGAGATGTTGTGTCAAAGTCATAGTATATTTTCTTGACAAAATGACCTATTATGGTTGGACCAATGACCCAATCTCCTGCCTAGGTTAGCACCTTGTCGGGTTCCAATAGCTATAATTATTTGACTGAACTTTGTTTATAGGGAGAAAATGGTTGCAGTGCTGTTGTCTGCTGGGGCAAAGCCAAACTTAGTCACAGATCCTACTCCAAAAATTCCTGGTGGATGTACTGCTGCTGATCTTGCTTTTATGGAGGGTTATGAAGGCTTAGCAGCTTATCTTTCAGAAAAATCTCTGGTTGAGCAGTTCAATGACATGAGCTTAGCTGGAAATATTAGTGGCCGACTGGAAACAAGCACAAATGATCCAGTAGATTATGAACATCTCACTGAGGACCAACTATACCTAAAGGATACGTTGGCAGCTTACCGAACAAGTGCTGAGGCGGCAGCACGAATACAGGCTGCCTTTAGGGAGCACTCACTAAAAGTACGAGTAAAGGCAGTTCAAGGTTTAAATCCAGAGGATGAGGCCCGTATGATTGTTGCAGCAATGAAGATTCAACATGCCTATCGCAACTATAACACAAAGAGGATGATGGCTGCTGCAGCTCGCATCCAGTATAGGTTCCGTGCATGGAAATTGCGTAAAGAATTTCTCAACATGCGACATCAGGCTATCAAAATCCAAGTAAGAGCTACCCTTCCTGCTTCTGTTATATCTGATTGCCTTCTGTGGAGACACGTGGCATTGCCAACCCGATCTGCTTGTTGAAATCATTGTACTGGAGCTGTTCGCACACATCTTAACCTGACTTGTTTTATATGTTATGAAGGATATTTCGCTCATTCAAATTGTCCACTGGATATTCACGAGTCAATCTCTTTTCTTCCTTAGGCACCTAACCATGTTGATTAGTTTTTATTGAGGTTTATCTTTCATGCATTCAGAATGAGTGGAATCAAGACATATCTTACTTTTCGCTACAAGAAGATAAAATGAAGCTTAAACTATCAAGAGAATGTTTAATTAGTCCCGTGGAATGTAGGATCTAGGAATGGGTTTCCGGCCTTCTATTGGTTTTTGCCCCATCTTTGGTGTTGAACAGAGAACCTGCACTTCTCTTCCTTAGCAGGAAGACCACTGAAGTATTGTAGACAGTACCAGAGGCACTTCTAATTGTCACTGTGAGAGTTTTCTGAGTAAATGATTTGTTTATTACATGTCTATATATCTATCGATGTGCCACGGGGGTGACTGATTTTTATTTCACATTTCCTTTAGCTGGGTTCACTGGAGGCTGACTGTTTATGGTTGACAAGAGATCAGCTGTCTGTTCTTACGTTCTAGATATTATTGAAGATTTAATTCAACCCCAACTTTTATACATGGGAGCAGCAGCAGATTTTGTTCTCTAAAATTGCATGGTCGTTAATTTTTTATCTTAATTTATCTTGAGGAAAGGATTGATCAGGTATTTCAATGCAGGCTGCTTTCCGGGGCTACCAAGAGAGGAAGCAGTATCGAAAAATTCTCTGGTCTGTTGGAGTACTTGAAAAAGCAGTCCTGCGATGGCGATTGAAGAGAAAAGGCTTCCGTGGACTTCAGGTTAATCCTGTCCAACAAGAGCAAGAACCGAGGCAGGAAAGTGACACAGAGGAGGACTTCTTCAGGACTAGTCGGAAACAAGCTGAAGAACGTGTGGAGAGGTCTGTAGTACGTGTTCAGTCCATGTTCCGTTCAAAGAAAGCACAAGAAGAGTATAGGAGGATGAAGCTGGCTCACAGTCAGGCAAAGGTAACAACTCCATGCAACAGATTTTCACTGTTTCAACTATTTGATCTGACCTGCATTTTTAACCTTATATTATTGCTTTCTGTAGCTGGAACTTGAATATCAAGAGCTGCTCAATTCAGAGGTTGATATTCTATAGAGGGCATGCTGTATCTGGCGAAAGGAATGGTACATTTGTTTAATTCTCTCTTTGTATAGTGTGTGTTGTGCATGTAGAGTGTAGATGCTGTGAATTCCTAGACAGTAGATTTGAATTGAATCCTTAGCCCTTTCAATTTGATTTAGTATCCTGAAAGGGTTGTTTGTGAAATTCCAATAAGTAGATGGGGTTTCTAAAGTAAGACGCTTTTAATGCACGATCTAAGGTTTACCTTGGGTGGCATGCCTTTCTTGGGTTGAATTGATAAAATGATTGTTGCCACAGACATGTCGGAGGACTGTATATTAATACTCCACATCTTGCCTAATTCAGAAAGAGTCTTCCTAATTTGTTTGACAAGGCATACATATGTATATAGGGTAAGATCGACTGATATATTAAATACTCCTCTGGTATTATTTAATGGAGGAATTGGTTATTGAGTTGATCTTGGTCTTAAATATAAGATTTAGTTCTCACATTTATTATTATTTTTTCTAAATTACCTCTATTAATACTTTTTCAACAATAATTAAGTAGGAGAGTGAGAAAGGATATTAAAAAAGATGATTATGATATTTTAGAAAAAACATATTTCTTATAACTAATTAACTTACCTAACTTTATTAATCTATTCGAATTAGTTAATTAGGTATTACATTAAGGACTAATAGAGTACTACATAATTGCAACATTTTTTATTGAAACAAAATTTCAAAATTTGCCATTTATATATTGCGTATGTTAAAAGTATTGGACACCTTACAAGATTCTTTTTTTTCTTCGGAAAAGAAGACCAACAGTTCGATCAAATCACATTCAAACTTCAGTGTATCCATGACAATCTACGACTAGAATAACAAATCATAAAATTTTCATCTGCGGGTTATGACGGTTAGTCTATTAAAGCAATTTATGAATATAGTTTTGTTAACGAAGTGCAAAGCCTCAAGAATTTTTTTCTTTGGTCACAGAAGAAGGGCAAAGCCCTACAACAAACTAACTGAATCTCTCTCTAAGCTAGTGTAAATGTCGTTATCAATTAGGACGATTTTTAATATGGAGAATGAAATACTGCTGTGGAAACTGCGGAAGAGAAAGCAGTCAATTAGTAGAAGCTATAGTGTTAAAGCCATGCAAGCTTTTTGATTTTCGGATGAAAATTGAACAGCTATGCCCCAGATCTAATTTTTGAAATACGAATGTTACCTCCCTATAACCATGGAGGTAAGCCACTTCAGTAACATTTAAAAAAAAAAAAAAACCCGCTTTATTAATTGTGCAATTTTAGCAACCAGTACAGTACAGGCACACAAGCACATTGACCCCGCCCGAAAGCCCGTATAGCTACAATTAAGTATCCAATTTACATGGGCAGCCACGTCTAAAAATTACAGTACTAATGTGAACACATCAGCAGGATGATGATCCAAAACTACGACCGCACTTAAATGTCTATTCACCTGCCTCATTTGATGTACTGAGAGAGCCACCTGAAGCCTTCGCCGTATCCCATCTTGCGGACAATACTGCACATGAACACTTCTAGAGGACGAACATTAGAGTCAGCCAGATTGACCTTGCCCTTGCCCGTAGTGAAGCTAGTCAGGCCCATATGATATCGCAGCTCATCTTCAGAAGCAGCATAAGGTAAGTCAATCTTGTTCCCCAAGACAAGGAAAGGCACATTTGCTAGCGACTCATCAGAAAGAAGAGCATCTAGCTCCCTCTTTGATTCCGCAAGTCTCTCCTTATCATATGCATCAACGAGGTAGACTACGGCATCCACCTACATGACAGAAACTTCATAATTAACTGAAAAGGGATGGTGCAACTCCCATCTTAGTAACTTGTCATTATACAGACATAGGACTCAAAACAGGTCCTAAATAATCAGTTAACCATCCAAGAATGAACTCCCATGGTCCTTTGTGGGCTGTGGCCAGCTAATTACAAGCTTCAAGCAAGCTATGCATGACAGTGTAACGATATTGGAAATATAAGAGACAGTGAGACACACGCTTGACAAGCATCAAAACCCCATGCTTCAGAAAAACCATATCAAATGCAATCATCTGAGGCGAGGGAAGCTGGCCACTTCTGAATATAAAATGTTACAACAATTCTACCTCTAACCACCATCTTACTGTTATTGACAACAATCACGCAAGATATTTTTCCCAAAACTTTCACCCAGTCAGAACCTTGCACAGCAGAATTAAAAAGACTAGAAAGGAATCAAGATGCCTGCGCTAACACAAGTTACATTTTAAAGAACTGACCAGAGGTGAAACTCAAATATAAGCTCAGGGCCTGTCAACATTTTCCCCTTATCAAGAAATTAATTCTATACCATACTGTTGCGATGGATCGCTCAGTCCACACAAAACAATGGACATTACTGAAGGAGAAGGAAATTTTCCCATCTTCATTTGAATTCTAATATCACAAGGTACAAAGCAAATAGAAGAATCATCCTCCCCCAGGGGTTGGGGTTCCTACCCATCTACGGGCGGAAAGGATCGTGTACCCGGGGGGGGGGGGGGAAGACGCATATGCTCAACTTAAAAGTCTAAGCAAACATAATCATATCGATAACATTTTAAACTAAGCAAGCTAAACCACCTAATGTTAATATACAAAGTCACCCTCGAGAAAATCACGAATTGCAAGAGCAATTTGAATTCCACATAATTCACCAATTTCAGCAGGGGGGGAAAAAGTTCAAAAGCATATTTGGATAATCAATTTAAATCAACGATCCTCAAAGATGAAAATTTGAACTTCCGTTTAATCTACCCTGGCTATACAGAAGACTCACGCAGAGGCGTATCAAGTTTTAAAAATGCCTAAATTTATTACAACAAACACAAATCAAGACCAAGTTAATGGTTTTTTTTTTTTTACCAAGACCAAGTTAATGGTTTGCCAGTAAACAAAGCCGCTTATTTGTTGGTTAAGGCATGTACGTTCTGTTTGGCTGGAATTACGAGGACTGATGCTAGTACTGTGTTGTCAAGTGCTGGGAGAGTCAATGGACGGGGGATGGACAGAAATGTATCGAGTTTAAGGGGGAAACGTAAGTTAGGGAGGCGGTTAATTTATTTTCCTTTCCTATGTGACGCTGGTTGTATTGTTGATCTTTTCTGGTGAATAAATAATTTTCTTTGTATAAACTACGTTAAATTAAACTAGAGACACACCTGAGCGTAATAGTCCTTCCAGACTCTGCGGGCGATTTGGTGGCCACCTAAGTCAAAGGCCTTAAATTTTATCTTCCCGATGCTCAACTCCTCCGAAGTAGGATACTGTGTAGGTTGATGTTGGACTAATCTCTGCGAAATCAGGGAAGACAAAAATCATAAATAAATAGACTTCAATTTATGAACGACCTCATCACTTCAAAAAAAAGCGCAAACCCATGTCTTTCCTAGTCACCGGGCGAATGGCTAAATGAAATTAGAAGTATTCTATGTGATGACTCACAGGAAGTAATGAGAGTGGATGCAAATTAAAATAAGAACTTCAAGAAATTAAATTACAATGCAAGAAAACCGCCGAAGCCAGAACCATAATTTAATTGTAGAATAAAACACAACCTCGTCTTTCAGCATGTGAAGTAAAGTAGTCTTCCCAGCATTATCTAGCCCTAGAAATAGGATCTTCGCCTCCTTTTGCCAGAGACCCAGGGATGCCAGAATCCCATAGAACCAATCAATAAGAAACATATTCTCTCGGAAAAACCGTACGGCGTTCCGCCGAAAGCAAAAATCCCGAAGAAGAGATCGCTGAAAATGCAATCAGCGATGCGAAGACGAATGATATATAAAAAGATCCGAGAGAGACCAAAAGTAACAAAGAATCACCAGAGACACCAAGAAAATGAACGAGCGAGAAATAAAGAAATCGCGTGAGGTGATGTTGATGAATCCAGGAGGGGAGACCGATTACCGGTGTAGCCAGTTTCGAAGGTGGGGCGAAAAACGATCAAAATGAGGCTGGTGCCGGGCTAGCAAGGAGACCAGAATAGCCGGTTAAGGAGCACGAAGTCCAGATGGAGGGATTTGATTGGGTGGTACGCGTCATTATGACATGCTACAGTGGCAGTGATGCTGTCACCAGGAGAGGCTTACGTGTCAGACGAACAGAAGGAAAAGAGAATTAAACCAGCTGATTACCAATTTACAAGCAAGGGATAATGAATTGCCTAATCGTAAAAACGTAAAACCAGCAAGGCAGCGCGATTCCTTTTCAACCATCGGTATGACCGATGACGTGTGCTGAGTTGAGAGGTAAAATTACTGTTTTAGTCCCTTCATCCCTAATTATAAGATTCAATTTTTTGAATTGATTTGTTCCTTTTTATAATATCTTCTTTAAGTTTATCTGAATATTTATTGCGGTATTACCTATTTTACTCTTAATTTAATGTATTTAATATATTCTCTTTCTTCATTTATCTCAATATTACTTTCTCACATTTATCTATTTGTACATAAGGGTATATTTGAAAAAAAAACTGTATTTGCTACATATTAATTATTTTTAACTAATTTTAAATGTTTTCCTAAACTACGTAATTTAGTTAAAAAGATCTTATAATAAGGGACGGAGTAGTATTTATCTACAATATTATTATTTCTTCTGAACTTGATAATTCGAGGAATAAATTTCATAGTAAGAGTTTTGGTGAATTGTGTTCAATACCTCATTGTTCAAAAAACCCTTACAAAAATATTCTTATGCTGTTGACAATATTATTTGAAATCACATTTTCATACCTCGAGTTAAGAACTAAGAAGGTTAGAGGGGAAACGAGTGGAGGAAAGATTTCTATTAGTTTGATATTTTTGAAAAAATAACAGATGATTAAAAAATTTTAATTGAAAAAATTTATTCGAACGAAGATCTTTTGGTTCAATTTTACGTTGGGAACAATATTGCTGAGTCGTCATTTTTTGGGGTTAAAATAGTATAATGCCTTTATTTGATAACGATTCTCTCACGAGTGCTTTCCACTCCGCATTTCACGTTGAATCTTCTATGATGATAATTCAAGTTGAGTCACTGCCATTGGACGGAGAGTTAAAAGGGATCGGCACTAAAAGTGAATTTTATTCCATATTATTTAATACTGATAAACTTTTAGGTTTCTCCAACTTTAATAAATGATTATTTAATTTTTCTCATGAAAAAAAATTTGATTTAGTATTAAATATTGATTAATTACTAAATTTCAGGAAAAAAATTTTATTTTCAATTATCTTTTGAATTAAAATTGTAACAATAAATTATTCTGATTCGTAAACTAAAGGCTAGAGTTATGTTAAAATATTTATTAAAGCTAAATTACCATCTACTTCTAGAATCATCTGCCAAAGTCAAATTTGCCTGCCCATGCCTGCCCATGGTACAACGAATAAAGAAGTATTCGAATAAAATCAAAATCATAGTTTTAAAATTAACTTTACGATATACGAAATAAATAAGTGAAAAAGTTTATCTCGATCTCTAAAAAAATATTCTATCCGATCCTAAATATAAAACCTATTTTGTAGTATAATTTAACTACAAAATATGTTTTATATTTAAGACCGGAAGAGTAGTTTCAAAAAACAATGGTACCCAAACACCTTTTAAGTATTCACATGAAAGAAAGAAGACAAAAAAGAAATAAAAGACAACTCGCTTTTCTAATCACAAGTAACCAACCGAGAAAATAGTCAAATAAGGATCTTCCAAGAACTTTTCTTCTGAAAAAATGCAGCACGTAAGGACAAACTTTCAATAATATCATCCAACAATACATAGAATGCAATTCAGTATTTCAATAATTGTCCCCAAAAAAAAAAGTTGATCCTAAATTTATAAGGAAAGATTTTCCCCAAAAGAATGTTCTTAAGATAGAGAATGCAGCACATAACATTACTGCAGATGTGAGATCAAATCATCCAATCAAAATTCAATTGAAAAACAGGGGGAAGAAACTCTTCTGAAAACTGCAGACAAGGTGCTAATTAATTAACATGAGGGGAAATATCTACTTGATATACTGCGAAACCCACTTGAAGCCTTCTCCATATCCCATCTTGCGGACAATGCTGCACATGAACACCTCAAGAGGCCTTAGATTGGATTCTGAGAGATTGACCTTTCCCTTGCCTGTGGTGAAATTGCTCAGCCCCAGATGATATCGAAGCTCTTCTTCTGAAGCAGCATACGGAATGTCGATCTTGTTCCCTAGTATTAGAAATGGTACATTTGCCAAAGACTCGTCTGAAAGGAGGCCATCTAGCTCCTTCTTAGATTCTGCAAATCTCTCTTTGTCATAGGCATCCACTAGGTACACAACAGCGTCCACCTAAAACAGCCAACAAACACGTGTTATGTCTTGATCGATAACTCAGTTCATGGCAGGCAAGTTCAGGAAAGATCTTTGAAATCAAATCTATATATTTTGAACCGTTAACTATGGAGAAGTAATACATCTAATAATAAACAATACCTAACAAATTAATTTTATGCTAATGGGAAAGGATAACGAGGTCTTAAATTATTTCTACACAAAATCTCAACTGTTGATAGAGGAAAGTTTTATTATAATCTTCAATACGTGTGTTCATATGGAAGAAGTCAAATGGTCTGTAATAAGTGTAGAATAAGCAAAAGCTGACAACACATTGTGCTGCAACTTGATTTTAATTGGAAAAACAAGGGGTCACAAGGAATTCCTCATCAGTCATGTCGAAAGTTTAAGTTGCCAAGTAAAAGCCTATAGCTATTTTCACTACGATATCTGACACATTCCCCGCTCAAGATGAATAATATATTGATTTCCAACCTTTAATTCTCTTAATACATCCAAAGAAGGGACTTTGAAAGCTCAAATTTAGAATTAATGATTTACATTGCATGCAACTTTTATTTGTTCTTCCCACTCTATCTGGGTGTCATTGTCTGTCCAGTTAATCCAAAAAAATATGGAAATGTTTGGAAAGTTACTAGTAAAACACCTCCTGCAAGGTTTAAAAGGATGCTATCAGCGAAACTTCCATTGTCAATATTTGCTTTCCATGAATCAGATAAATACAAGGAACTTTATCTGGGACTAAGAAGGAATAGCATTGCTGAATTGGTGAGACCAAACGGTAGCCATCATAGTTATTAGTTGGGTTGCAAAATATAATTAAAGTTACAGACAAGAAGAGCAGATGAGGTAATTAAAAAACCATACTGGGGAAATTCAATGTTAACAGAAGAGCAACAATACATCTACTGACGTGTGGAGGAAAAAACACATGATGACATCCACATAGGAAATAGACACTAACAACAAGCCAGCCACGAAGTGACCATGCTGCATTTCGATAGTAATTGGAGAGGTCACAGCCAATCAATATATAAGAATATAGAGGATCTTTGTTCCAGCAATGCTATTCCAATGAGATCTAAAGATATGGATGTAAGAGTTGGATTAATCCAGTTTTAAACATCTAAGTTATTTCATAACCTTATCAGACGCAATTGGGAGCAGAATCAGTGAGAGGTTAACATGTTTTAAAAAACAACCATCTAACGATAACAATGATGACCCTTCCCGTCTATATGAAAGCAAGTCTGCGCCAAGGCACTCAGAAAGCCCAATTGCAAAGGAAACACTGTCTATATTATATTGCTAGAAAATAAAATGATAAATTGCTACGAAGTGATAATCAAGTGGGACTATTCTAAATCAAACCCCCCCCCCCCAACATATCTCACTTTTTAAATACTACAAATCACATTAAGTTGATCATTTGCTATTATCATTGAAGATCAACCATACAAAGACAACAAGAATCAAAGAATAACCTTGGCATAATAGTCTTTCCAGACTCTGCGGGCAACTTGATGACCACCCAAATCAAAAGCCTTAAATTTGATCTTCCCAATGCTCAATTCCTCTGAAGTGGGGTGTTGGGTTGGCTGGTGCTGAACTAATCTCTGCCAAGGAATAGCAATTACAAATTTCAATTCTCCAAAAAGATATGTCAAAATAGACGACAAACACGATCGAGTTCTGTAAAATGTACACCAAATCAACCTCATCTTTCAACATGTGAAGGAGGGTGGTCTTTCCAGCATTGTCAAGACCAAGGAATAGAATCTTGGCTTCCTTTTGCCAGAGGCCCAGAGAAGCTAGAATGCCATAGAACCAGTCGAAGATGAACATGTTACCCCTGGATTTGGTTCAGGAGGTTCAGATCCAAACCAAAACTCGGAAGGAATTGAGAAATATAGTTTGAATCTGAGGGAGGAAGTTTCAGATCGCCGGTTGAGGAAGAATAAGGACCCAGATCCCACCGAGATCCTAGATCAAGTGTCGTAAACTCATGTGGGAGGAAACGCAGGTCGGTTTTTGCAAGAAGACGGTCAGGTAGGGATCAATATGCTAAACTAAGCTTGTGGCTCCCCTTCTTATTTTGATTTCCTTATTATTGATAATAAATAAACAAACAAATATTGGTTCTTTTGTTTTCACAAAAAAAAAAATTGTTCTCATTTATAGACAGATAGATAGGTACGATGTACAGTATCTGGCAGAAAATATAAATAATTAATCGCATACTTATTACAAAAGTCTATAAATAAATAACACCATTTGTCATAAGTTTTATATTTGATAGCAATGATTTTGGTCAAAAAAAATATTTGATAATGATAATTAATATTAATTATATAAAATAATATCAACTAATTGAGTGCCGCGTGCATGTTATTGCAGGACGACGTCTCGTTCTAATAATAAAATTTTATTTATAATCTATAAACAAAATCATATAATTAAAACAGGAGGTACTCCTCCAATCTTTAATATAAGATTCATTTAACTAATTTAATTAGATTAAAGAACTTAGGTAAATTAGTTAATTATAAGAAATGTGACGCGTTCTTCCTAAAATACTATAATTATCTTCCTTAATACTCACTCTCCTTTTTCTATTTAATTATGGTTGATGGAGTATATACAAGAGTAATTTAAAGAAAATTGATAAATAGGAGAAATGAATCTTATATTTAGGATCAAAATCAACTCAATAATTAAATTCTATATTAAAGATATAAGGAGTAGTATTTTTTAAACTTGTATTGAATGTATCTCCCAATCTCACCGACAACTAATGAATAAAATAATACTCCTCCGGTCGTTAATATAAAACCTGTTTAACTAATTTGATTAGATTAAGAAAGTTAGATAAGTTAGTTAATTATAAGAAAAGTAGCACTTTTTTCCTAAAACACCATAATCATTTTTCTTAATACCCCCTCTTCCTTTTCTACTTGATTATGGTTGAAGGAGTATCCATAGGGATAATTTAAAGAAAATTGATAAATATGAAAAATTATTCTTATATTTAGAACTAAAATCAATTTAACAATTAAGTTTTATATTAAGGGCCGGAGGTAACATATTATATACTTTTATAATAACGTTATGTTGAAAAGCCTGGAACCGCAACAATGTAGGAAGAGATGCTAGCGACGTACGATCAGCAGTGCTTTATTAGGCATCATGGTGCTGTTAATTAACCGTGTACAGCTGTTTCCATTTTTTTTTTTTAATGTACTCGTAATAAGTTTTTTTGCCTGATTAGGGTTTGTAATATTTTAAACGTATTTACTCATCTGTTTTTTAATATAAAATCTAATTAACTAATTTGAGTAGATTAAATATATTAGTTAAATTAGTTATTATGATTTTTTTTAAAACATCATAAGTTTCTTTCTTAATTCCCATATTTTCTTTCCTACTTGATTATGTTAAAAGAATATCAATAAAATTAATTTTAAGAAATTGATAAATATGTGAATTAACTTGATATAGTTAGCAATATAGTTTTACTTATGCTCTGTCACATTTCACCCTTTCGTGGGTTACCTTTCGCCTTTGTTTTCCTTAATATAAACAGTACAGAGAATTTATCTCAAACCTACCTATTACTCCTCCAATCCTTAATATAGGACCTAATTCTTGAATTAGTTTTAGCCTTAAATATAAGACCCATTTCTCATATTTATTTATTTTCTCTAAATTACTTCTATAGATATTCTCTCAACCATAATCAAGTAGAAGAGGGAAAATGGGTATTAAGAAAGATGATTATAGTGTTTTAGGAAAAATAAGTTACTTTTCTTATAATTAACTAACTTACCTAATTTTCTTAATCTAATCAAATTAGTTAAAATAGTCTTATATTAAGAACAGGATGAGTATTTAATTTCAAATGAGTAATTAAGTCTCCGTTGTCAAGCAAATCACATAGGAAAAGTTAGGGTTGCTTTTACATTTCACGGTGAGCAACACGTTTTTGGCCATGTTAATTTGAAAACGAGGATATGAGAAAATGTCAAAACCTTTATTACTTTTTTAAAAATATAATAATGATTGGTATTAAAAATAGATAACTGAAAATACGTGTTGTAAAATTAAGAGATAAAATTAAAATTTCATATAAAAATAAAAGGTCAAATGCGCATTTTAAACTTATTTTGGGGAAAAAAATTACTACCTTCGGTTCTTCACATAAACACTAATCAAAAGATTTAATCTGATCATAAATATAAGATCTCAATTTATTTTATCTTCTAAATTTATAACCTTTTTAAAATATCCATATCGATTGCAAAGTATTCCTGCCAAGAGATAACTCTAATGTATATAATCAAAGAGGATGGTTTAGAAAAATTAACACACATTCATTATAAATAATTAACTTCACCAATTTCTTTAATACTCTTAAATTAATTATTTAACTCTTATGTTTAGCAAGGGAGAAGTAGTATATAGGAGTAACGTGATTAGTAAATGCAATGAACAATGATGATCAAATTGTCAAAGCTAGGATTATTAAGAAGGAAAGAGGGGCAGGTGGAGTGGTTGACTGCGTAGGTTAGGGCGGACACCAAAATGACAGCTGAGAAGAGTAGGGAGCATGTGTTCGGTCCGCAGTTTGGCTTCCTCCCACGTGGCACACCCTAACATCCCCACCCACAAATGTTCACACTGAATATAATCTGAAAAGCCTGCTGTGTTTATAATTTATATATAATGAATTACTATTATTATTAGTTAATATAGACACTGATATACTGAGGATATATCATAATCATATTGCAAAAGCTCTTAAAATGATAAAGATTCAAATCCAGCCAATCAGTATTACAAAATATACTACATCTGATCCTTAATATAAGATCTTGTTTGATTTTTATTTTGGTTCCAAATACAAGACCCTAATCTATTTTGTCTCTCATATTTATACATTTTTCTCAAAATAGTCATTCTAATAATGATGGCTTTGGTCAATACATTTGATTAATAAGGATATTTTAAAAAAGACAACATCAATTTATTACAAATAACTAACTTAACTTATTTCCTCAATCTCTTCAAATTAGTCAACTAGCTCTTACAATTAGGACTGGAGGTAGTATTAAACTTTTGCCACAAAATATTTCACATAAAGGCATCCTTAGAATTCAAAATTGTTTATCACAACTCACAGTATTGATAATACATTTTATAAAAGGTTTAAACTCATCAATCCATGCTTAAAATGAACTTCAGCAAAAACTTCGATGTTATTGGTTTACAATACCTAAATCTTAAAATTTAATCTGGAGGGTTATAGTGCGACCCCTGCAGAGTGAATAATGGAAATGGTACATGACAATATGGTGTTGGTTTCATATTCTTTTGGCTAACAAAAGAAACTTGCATTATAAACAAGTCAGCCATTTATTCTTTTTTTTTTTAATTACAACTGAAAATATCATGATTTATTCTTACAACTCGCATAATATTAAAACATATTTATTCAATATATGGTATATCTATATACCCATTGTGTGTGCGTCAACACATGACTGCGTATGTATTGATCATAGTGGTTGAGGGTTGACCCAGGGATATATTTCGAGTGCCCCGGGATTTGTTCATGCTTGGGATTCTCACTGCATATTTTCCTCTTTTTCGTCTTATAGTGTTCCATGTCGTGGGATCTTTTATTAGCAAGAGGTGACAAAAAGTCGTGGTTTTTTTTTTTGGGAAACTAATCTGGCAATCCTTATAATTTTATTAGGTTTTGAATTAGGTTCCTCAAGTTTTTTTTCTTTTTATTGAATCCTCCCAATTCACTGTGTTCAGGGGGATTGGCCCTTCTGTAGAAGGCGACATGGCATATTGAAAGAGCTGTCTGTCCATTGTCCAATAGTTATTCTCTCTCGTGGTAGAAGATTATTGGATTTCCCCAGGCATGAATTGTCTCAAGGGAAGGGCGCCTCTTCTTTCACCGCCAGCCAATTCTAACATACGTCTTTGTTTGCTTTGAGTGGTGGTGGTATGAGTTGATGATTATGCTGTGTGGGCTTCTAGTGAATCTGAAAACGACCATTGCTTTCATGGAAATCCTTACCCAAACAACCTCTTTGGTGTTCACAAGGGAGGATAACAAACTGGTTGCGAATCGATCAGTAAAAGCAGGCATTTCCATGATTGTGTCTATGTTTTGCACTATGGGCCGAGACACAGCAGCCGTGCTTTTCACGGCCTTAGCGAGGCATCAATGGGGTTGATTCTTCACCGCCGACAAGGAGCTGTCATAACATTGCCAATTGCCGGAATGTTCGACATCAAAGATGAGAAGTTGATGGAGAAGTGGAACAAGTTGAAGCAGCCTTCTTCCCCATCTCAGCATTATTGACCCAAAGATGAGAGAGAACCACAGCTTTTACCGGGAGAGAGAGCACTGGATGCACTGACGGCGTTTGGAGCATTTAATAGAAGGACTAACACCTTAAACACAGTGAAATTGGAGGATTCAATAAAACCAAAAATAACTTGAGGGACCTAATTCAAAGTCTAATAAAACTACAAGGACGGCTAGATTAGTTTTACCTTCTTTTTTTTAAAAAAAAAAAAAACAATTAACGTGAATATACCACCTAATAATGCATTCAATACTTTAATTTTATTACTCCTCCGCTCCTTCATATATGACCCAATTCTTGAGTTGGTTTTGGTCCTAAATATAAGATCCGTTTCTCATATTTATCAATTTTCTCTAAATTACCTTTATAGATACTCCTTCAACCATAATCAAATAGAAGAGGAAGATGGGGTATTAAGAAAGATGATTATGGTGTTTTAGAAAAAATATGTCACTTTTGTTATAATTAACTAACTTATCTAATTTCCTTAATCTAATCAAATTAATTAAATGGGTCTTATATTAAGGACCGGAGGAGTATTTTAGTACATCTAACTTCATAATATTATTTTTAGTGAATCCAGCATCTTAAAGATTAGGGTGCTGGATGTAACTAAAATTTTTTTTGAAGTGTTCGATGCACAGAAAACTAAGATTATGATATATAAATTAGGGCGCTGAATGTACATGACAAATGAAATTAGTGTGTTGGATGCATCTTTATAAATAAAACATGCACCAAATTAAAGGAGTTCTAAGCCACACGCCTGAAAATTTTATTATTTTACGAAATCTTAGACCAGCCAATATTATTTTATCATAACCTAGCAATCTGTTTTTTTTTTTTTAAGGGAAAATCTGTTTTTTTATTAAATAATAGCATATGACCTATATTTTCGATTTATAATACGGCTTAACATTAAATTCTGAAAGAATCATTCTCAGTGAGAACATGTTAATAGAATAAGTGAAAGCTTGAGATACGAGTAATAATTTGCACAACCAATTATGATATTGCATATAATTCGTAATTCCAGGGAGTCCAGTTTTAAGAGCTGAGACTCCCTAAAGCCGACGCTGTAAGAAAAAAAGGACTGCAACGTATGCCTAATGAATTGATGGGATGGAAAATGAGAGCATATTCATTTTTTTTGGGGTGGGGGGGAGAAGAAGTTTGACTACCAATTTGCATTTGTTAATGAAGGAGATTATGATCACCTACGCATAAAGTTTAAATACAAAATACATTTTTTTACAAGAGTTAGTTCTGTTTGGGTTTGACAATGCTCAAATCTAATGACATCAGATATTGCAAATAAAAAATATCTGAATATTTATATATTCAAAAGATCTACGGTTCTTCATTATCAATTTTTTTTTGCAACTTGTACGGTCATTGGATCTCAAATCTCAAACTCCTCAATGGGTCACGCAAGGTCAATTTAAGCTGCCTAGAACAACATGGGCATGTGTACAAAACCTCGACACTTGAAACAATTGGAGCCCAAAACTTGAATTTTCACTCCAATTTTCCTAGCTAGTCAAAAGTTTCCTAGTTTGTATGGGCCCAATGAATATGATCATGTTACCCGGCAAAAAGATTAGATCCTGGCTTAATATGCTGAAGGCTTCTTGTCGTAAATTGCCACAACAAATATGGATTTAAAATTTAATAACCTGCGCATAACGTGCTAAATTAAGTTTTGAATCTCTTTATGAGAGCTGTTCATATTAAATACTTAATAGTATTTTGAACAGAATTTTCTCTAATAAAAAGATACCAATACAGATGGGAAAAAAGTTAAGAATACTTACTCTTGATCCCTTTTCTAAAATTTGGGTCGGCCTAAGACCAACTGGGTATTGATAACGGAATCTCGAATTATTTTAATTATCATATTACTACTAATAAGAGCCGGGTTTAACTAGCATACTGTCATTTTGATAAGTTTTCGTGACCCAATTCACATAAATTTTTATTTACCAAAAAAATTCATTTAGTCATCAAAATTTGTAATTTGTCTGGTAAATAGGAACAACTAATTTTTTTTCAAAGTTTTGCCATGCAAGAGAGTTTCAATTTCAATGGCCCTAAATAAGGGAAGGAGAATCGTTAAAGATTAAAAGAACAACAGAAATTCGTTGAATTCTTCTTTCACTGTGCATCAAATCGAAATTCTTCAGGAGTTTTTAATCTATTAAACTTCGAATATATTGTTTTCGAAATCGAACCCGCATCTGCTAAATACATAACAACAACTTGGCTTATTTCTTCACCTGCACCGCAAGAATATCATCTTGTCCACTCATCCTCTGGAGATTTTCAAGCAAACGTGTCTGGACCATCTGCGCAAACCCACCGCAATCTATATCGTCAACTCAATAATAATGCAGTCTCAAGGTGCCAATCTTCCTTACGTAGTATCAGCAGTATTAACGAATATTCTCCATGTTTAGGTATGCTTCACAGGTAAAAGCAAATACTCATCCGCAGGGCGAATATTTCATAATGCACCCCATCATAAATCTTTCGATCGATCATGAATTCATCTACAGTTACAGACTCATTTTATTCATGAGGAAACAGAATACAACAGGAAAAAGAAAACCAGAACTAGAACGGACGACCCAAATCACCCAATACAAATAAAGCTAATGCTCATAAGAGAACAGAATCTGACGGGAGATCAAAGGAATGCTGAGAAAGGAGAGATTCCAAAAACATATGTACTGAGATGTTGTTAATTCAATAAGAGGCGGTTCCTCCATTAAAGCCACATGAAAGAGTAAGCTTCATGACCTCTATCTGCATCTGCAATTCCAAGCTCCTGTCCTGTTCATCTGCCAATGCCTTTTTCCGATCATCTTCCTCCTCCTCCTCCTCCGCCGCCGCGAAAACTTCCTCTCCATGTACCATATTTATCAGAGTCTTAACCTGCCTTATTTCTGCTTCCAAGCTCTCTTTCAATGCCATCAGAATAGGCAGTGTAACTTCCTTGTTTACCCTCCACGCTCCTCCTCCGACCACGACTCCACCACCGCCTGTCGGCGACGACGATGAGGAAGACCCTCCCTGCAGTTGCATAGCCGTTTGTGAACCACTGGCCCCTTGTTCTCCTGACTCACCCATGCCTGTAAATTGGTGGATTTGCAAGAAAAATGAAGCGGAAGAAGAAAGAGTGATGGAGAAACTGAGGAGAAGAAGAAAAAAGAGTGGTTTTTTTAAAGTTTCGACGGTTTTCCTGTGAGTATTGGGAGGGAAAGAAAAGCATCACGTGAGCTCACGACCGAAAGAAAGTGAATGGCAGTTATTGGGCCGAACTTATTCGGCTAAATTTCGATCCATTCTAAGCCCAGGTCAGTCCCTGCAGGCCCATTTTCAAGCTATAAGGGCACTATCGTCATTAAATTGTCAAATATGGTCCACACACCACCCTAGGGCTTAGTCTTCAGATCAGGTATAAATTGTCATCTGTGTTTCGCCTGTCAATTTTTGTTTGCTGAAAACCCTAGGCGAGCCGGACTTTCACCTGTGTTTCGGTGCGTGGTTTCGAATCGCACGTTTCGCTACCGGTCATGATCTCCGTGCTTCATTTACCATTTTTTCTATCGAATGCTCAGTTTTATGTCTTTTGATTGCAGAAATGGCGAAGTCGAAGAACCACACAGCTCACAATCAGTCCTACAAGGCCCATAAGAATGGCATCAAAAAGCCGAAGAGGCACCGTCATACTTCCACCAAAGGGGTACAATTTTATTTTATTTATCTAGTTTTTTGTTATATCAATCTTCTGATTATATTTATTTTAAGACAAGCCTTGTGATTATTGATTTATTTTCGTGGGGAATTATTGTAGATGGACCCTAAGTTTCTGAGGAACCAGAGGTATGCCAGGAAGCATAACAACAAGAGTGCTGAAGCAGCCACCGAGGAAGAGTAAGGGAGCACTCTGTCATGGAGCTACAAGTATTTTCCTTGATAGATTAGATTTCGTCTTGTAGCGTGGCATTTTTTTTTTTGGGATCAGTTTACTATAGCGAACTGAGTTTTCTCCAGTGTGTCGATCAACTCTAACATTCGGCCCTAGTTCGTAATACAGTATTGTTGTTATCTTCTATTTATAACTCTTCAATTCGATCACCATATTGATATTCAGAGATGGTTGCGTTTTCTTTCGTTGCATGTGTTTGTTTCTGCATCCTGCAGTTCATTTCCCCGGTTGAATCTTGTCTTTGCAGTTGTCTAGTCGTAGAAGTTACTTGTGCTTTCATTCGACCTGTGATTATTCAGGAGCATAGGGGATATATCCCAGCATGTTTCTAGATTGGCTTTGAAACCGTGATTTGTAATCATAACATGTTACTGAAAGAAAGCCTCGTTTGGCACGCGAGAATTCTGATTGTCGAAGTGGAATTGGAAACAGATTCTTGAGCCAAGCTTGTTTGGTATTTCAGATTTTGGATTCATTAGGAAACCAATTCCAGTTAAGTAGCTGGAATCAGTGATTTAAGGTCCGATGGAATTGGTCCCATCCCCGGAACTAAATTCTTAAGCCATTTCTGCCTACACCATGATTTGTCACCTCCGCCACCATCTTTCCCTCTTTGTAGTTTTCCTCTCCGGCCGTCGCCTCTATGGCTGCCATCTTCATCAGGAGCCTTCAACACCATTGTCGAATCCAAACCAACACTCCCTCGTCTGCTATCATTGTGAACTCGCCTCCGATGCTTTTTTTTTTTTTTTTTGGTGACAGCCTCCGATGCTATTTTACTGTCATGACCTTTGTGCCTTAAGCGCTGCTGGATGGTAAACTGGTGGTGGCGGCGGCGATGGCGATGGCTGCCTGCAAAGTCGCTCTAACAACATCATTCTTCAAACTCTGATCTTCGTGTAGTTTTTTTTATTTATTTCGATTTCAGTCGAGCATCCATCGGTTCGACCTCAACAATGTCGCGGATGTGTTTGTGCTTCTCCCAGAAACATTCACCCTCTGATGAAGGTCATTTTTGGGCTTGTCAGTGGTTATTTTAATTAAAATTCGGAATGTGTCATCTAGAAGCATCTCTTAATTTGTTCGACCGAGAAGCAGCGGCGTTTTGGAACCTTTTTTGACCTTTTTCGACCTTTTTCTCCGGGAAATGAAAATCTCGATTTATCTTGGCATGGTGGAAAGTCGGAAACATTCTCAGCGTACTGTGTGTGACTTCCGAATTTATTGCCTTGCGTTGTTTGCCGACATAAAGCCTTGAATACTTCAAATCGATCCTAACTCTAACAATGATTTTGAGCTTGTTTGGGTTGCTGTTTGGCGGCCCCAAACGTTGGTTGAGAATAAAGATTGGGAGGACGGTTTTATTGTCTGGATCGGCAGTATCTGAAAAGCTATTAACACCACCCCCCGCCCCCAAAAAAAAAAAACACAAACAAATCCATCATATGCTCAAACTTAAGGCTTGTTAAAAGTGGTTTTTATTTTAACTAACTTTTGTAAATTAAAAATAAGATTGAGTTAAAACCGTAAAAGTCATTTTTTTGAAAGTTCAATGATGTGCAAGAGAACTGTTGTTGGTTTTATGATCCAATTATTTCCCCCCATTTTGATATATTTTCCTTTAAAGACATCTAATATAAAATATACTCATCAATAGCTAATAAACAAATTTTTTTTGGAAATTAATAAAATTGAAAAAATAAAAAGAATTAATATAATTTTTTATCTCTTTAATTTTGCCCGCATTTTGATTTTAATTTTTTAAAATTCAAATTTTAAATTTTAGTTTCTCAAGTTTTATTATGTCTAACATATTAATTCCTATAATTGAATAAATGTCTAGATTATTTTGCCTCTTAAGGATCAAATACCCATCGTATGAAATTTAAGAGATTAAAACTGAAATTTATATAAACTTGATGAATCGAAAATTTATTAACCAAATAATATTAGAGTCCTTTAAAGAAAATGGACGATGGAAGCGATTTAGGTTTGAAGACCGATTCGAGTGTACCATAGATTTACACTCGTATTAACTGCTGGAGCCGGCAACATCAGAATATTCTATGACACTGTTATTTTAATAAGAAATTCATAAAACTAGCATACTTTCACTGGCTTCAAAACTGAAATACCACAAAACATGAATAGGCTGCTATAAATAAAGGCCTCTCGAGAAATGATGGCCGCAATTCAAGAGGAGAACAAGTTTCTAGAACGCAATACTAACGAAAATAGGTAATTATGACAGGCACTAAGAAAAGTAAGAAATTGAAATATCAAAAATAATATATGGTGCCCATTCATTCTCACGCTGTCGGCTGATTCCCTCAAGTAGTCCTCTTCTCTTACAGGTCTGCTAATGTGCTCATGCCCTCTGTCTGGAGATGAGTAACGTCTCGGAACTCCCTATCACAATCAAATTTCTTAAAAAATTTATACTCTGATGATTAGACTGCGACTGCTTCACTTACTGGGCTCGAAGCTTGTGCTTTGACCTGCCTCAGTAATTGAAGAGGGGCGTATTAATGAACCGGGCAAAATGAATTAGCTGTCTGTATGTGCGCGTAAGTGCGCTAGTGAAAGTGTGTGGTGTTGTGTGCATTTCAACTCTTCTTTTTCTACATGTAAATAGAAGTATAATCTGATGTTCACCCTCTCCTAAAATCAGTCAGGCAAATTTGAAAAGGAAATTCCTTATGTGCTTTCAGAGGCACTGTACACCAGAACGATGTTTCACGAGGCATCAGAGAATGAAGATTCACGTATGTTTTGGAATGGCACCAGAGAGGAACTTTATCAACTCAAATTAGATAGAAAACTCTAAGGTGAAACAGGTCACTTGTTTTGATCGCCAACGTTGGTCCAAAAGAAAATTTAGTTAACACCTACATTCTTGATGCATCACCATAGAAAAAGAACAGGGAAGGCTAGATTAGCTATACTCACTATGATGCAATGGAAGGCTCACCTTTGCAGATTTAAATAGCTCATCGAGAACTTCAGACAAAGTTGGATGAGCATGAACCGCGAATTTTATGTCCTGCATTTTACCACAAACAAGGTCAAGCATGCCTTACAGGAAGACTTGTGTCGATATTGACAGGTGAGTTTATGAAAAGACATGAACGAAAATAAGAAACTCTGAAGATGTAATCAACAACTCAATATGAACATGTAATTGCGCAATCATTTATAACCACATATGCAGTGTGTACGTAATGGTGGTTAAGGAAGGAAAATTCACCTGAATATGTGTCCCTAATGCGATTGCATTGGATGCTTCGTGGATAAGATCTGCTGCATGCAACCCAAATATGTGAACTCCTAGTATCTCTCCATTATCAGGCCTGTATATCAGCTGCATGAAAATAGTATAAACGACACTCAGAGATCCATGAATCTGGGTATTTGGCCAAAAGAAAGATATACAAAGAGCTGCGCGAGAATATTAAAAATGCATCTAAAGGAAAATGACAGTGATGCAGATCAAGTAAAGCAGGAATATCAATTAGTACAAGGACAAGTAACTTGTATCACGCCGGAAACTCCTTGGCGGGCAACTCGTTAGCAGTATTTAATGTGAACATAGTCTTCTGTACAGGGAAACATAAAGGAATACAGAAACATAACCTTGGCAAGTCCCTCCGCTTCATTTTCTGCTAGGGCCTTTGTGTTAGCTTTAAAACTTGTTTTGGCAACACTTACTTCAAATCCTTCCTTTTCACCTTTCTCCCTTGCTTGAGGCTGCAAGTGTATATATTCGGTTATATCTCATTAGTTCATCTGATTGGAAGACAAGGATTTGAGCAGAGAATTTATCATCTAATACATATAGGGAAAAGGGGTGGGAGAGTTAATGGGAGATGTAGAGTTATCAACCATGCATGAGAAAGAGGACTGTATTGAGATTCGTTGTTAAAAGTGACACAATAAAAAGGCTCAATGTATACCTCCGTCAATCCAACCATGCTGATTTCAGGATGAGTGAAACAAGCAGCTGGGATGCTTAAATGATTCAGCACATAGTCTCTTCCAGTGACTTGTTCAACCACTGCAAGAAGTTACTTTATTAAGTGGAACGGGAGCCAAAGACTCAAATGTTAGTAGCAAAAACTACGTTTACACCCACGCACTCACCTGAAATTCCTTGAGCACTGGCAGCATGAGCAAGCATCATCTTGCCATTTGCGTCACCAATACAATATAAATGAGGCACCTAACATTCCATACCTTGTTTCAGTAACCACAAGTCAAAGCTGGAGAAAAATCATTTCTCATAAGATATTTGGAACAAACCAGATTTCCTTTTGCATCAATTACTCGCATGCGCTCATCCACAGGAACAAAACCACGCTGTGTTGCAACATCAATCTGAAGGAACACAGTCAACAAGATTGTTTAATCACTTCCTTCAGGGAAACTAATGCACTTTAATCATCGGAATTGGGAAGACGTACATTTTCCAAGCCAAGTCCTTGTGTGAATGGAGCCCTTCCAGTTGCTATTAGTGCAGCATCCACCTGCAATGAACCAGCATTGATAGCTTATAATATATCCAACAGTGATTAAATTTGCAAACCCAAAAAGCAGATATAAAACATAGACTAGTTATCAATGTGCATTATAGATTGTAATTGTGGTCACCAGTCATAGAGCCAGACAAAATGTTTAAGGATTTTTGTTCGCAATAACATGTTCAACGGTGATGCAGAAGCAACTAGTCTCTGAAGCAATGCACGACCAATTATATGCCATTAGGAAAGGGGGAAGGGACAATGCAAGATGGAAAAACAAAACCTATTTATCCATCAGCGCTTAAGATTCCAATCGTGTACCTCCCATAACCTATTTATCCATCAGCGCTTAAGATTTCAATCGTGTACCTCCCCATACATGCTCTAACTCAGTTAGGATTGGCTTTAGAAAATTTAATTTCATTGACAATTAACTCAATCTGGCCAGTTCTTCTTCTTCTTCTTCTTCTTCTTCTTCTTTTTCTTCTTTTTCTTTTTTATGGGAGAAAATCTGACAGTTCAAGACAAAGTGAGAAAATTTGTAACTTAAAGGAAAAGGCCATATCACCTCCAAAGTGTCCTTAGGTTCCTTGGTCTTTGCATCAATGAGGTCAATGATAACTGGTTTCCCATCCTTTGCAGGAGTTATCTATAGAAAATACGAGTATGACCCATTAAAAAGCCACCCAACAAAAATTCAATCAAGCAATTACAATTTGTAGTCAGTTACCTTGGAGGCAAAAACTCCAGTATGATAGTCAATATTTCGGGGATTTATCAGAACCCTTTGAGCCAACTTGCTAATTTCAGGATCAAATCCGGGCATGAGTTGATCTAAGGCTTCAACGAAAGTAACCTGAAGAGCATATAATTGCTAACTAAACGACTTGCATAATTAATAAATTAAATATCTGCCCACTTCTGTACTAAAAAGAAGCATGGCGAAGTATATGGTCTTAAATAGATTATCTGGGACCTATATATACACCTGGGTTCAGCTATTTGGAATTTTTACATACTCCAGAAGGAAGAGTAACAGAGAACAAGTAGAGTAATACGAAGAGGATTTACCTCACTTCCAAGAGCTGTATAGACATCACTGAATTCAAGGCCAATGTAACCACTTCCTACAATTGCTATCCAGTCAGGAACAGATTCCAGTTTGAGCGCATGATCACTGGTAATCACAGTCTTCCCTGCAGGTAATTACTAAGTAAATACTCTTAAAAAGCAACCATAGAGTCATGATTCCCTAACTTGTGCATCGGACAAGAAGAAACCAGAAAATGGAAGACAAGAGAGATACAAGATCAGAAGTCTCAAGCAAGAGTATTATACTAGTTGTAGAGATGGACACAGCATAACAATATTTACAACAACAAACTTTATCCCACTGGGTGAGTCAGCTACAAGGATCACATCATGGAAATGTGCTTCATCTTTAAACACACCGTTAACCAACTCTGGTTTACCATTACAAGATCGCTGTACTTATCCATAGCACTATCATTGAACTCAATGCAGACTTGACAAGTTCGGTAATAGACAGTATACTTTAGCATCTTATAGCTGAATGACAAGCCTACTAAATCCTAAGTAAGCAGGATTATGTATAGTTAAAAAGAACAGGGAAAATAACATAATAAGAAAGTAACATTTTAACATTATGTTGAGCAAAAGATAAATCAGTACCGTCAACTTCAATGCCCTTGGGAACGAAAGGAACAGAACCAGTTGCAATGATTATATCTTTTGCGGTTACTATTTTTTTCGAAGAGCCAACTTGCACCTTTTGAGGACCCTGCATGGATTCATAAATATGGCGGTAAACAAAAATATACTCAGTCACTTTTTGCAGCCTCATGATTTAAGGTAAACTGGGCAAGCCTTTGCCAAAGAGGACGTGGCCGATCCTTACAAATTGACCATAACAGAAATGGCAGACCACTCATAACACAACACATCACTTACCAGAATGGATCCGAAACCTGTGAGTATGTCTACTCCTAGTGCCTTTAATGAATTGGTCAAATTACCACGGATTTTTGAAGCAAGGTTATTAGCATGATCAGCTACTCCCTGCCTGTCATACCCAGCAGCAGAAACCTGAAATAAATAAAGCCAGAAAAACAATTGATGGTGAAACCAGTATCTCTCAATCGCACAACACATCATAGCTTTAAATTTAGAAAAACATGATTATATATTATTTTTACCTGTAAGCCCAAGGATCTCAAATGATGATCACTTTGTAGTTCACGCATACGTCCACTAACTGCCAAAAGAGCTTTAGAAGGGACACAGCCTCTGTTTACACATGTTCCTCCTACAACATCTCCCTCAACAATGGCCGTTTTCAAACCCTGTAGCCACCAGGTTATTTCAATTTCTCTAGGATAATTTACCCAAGCTGAGCTTATTAGTTACAGCAAATCAACATACAAGAAAGTCGTTCTTATGAAAGCATTAATATGCAAGCTGTTTTAACCTTTTCTTTCCCATCAAAATCGATATCTCACTCAATAAAAGCAACTTAAGCAACGAAATAATGGTTTGAGCTTGTTCGGGAAAATTCTTTTATGTGAAAGAACGTAACGGACGAAAGTGAGATCAGTTGTGGATTCATAATTAGGTAAGTAAGCCTGTTGAGAGGAAAGATTTAAAACAGCTACGTAATCCAGCTGAATTTTTCAGTTCAACACAACTCAGCTTTCAAATAGATATAGGCACCGAAGCAGGCCGCCTTCTTTATCAAAGTCCCTCCTTTTTTCTTTTTTATTTATACCAATCTGAGTAGAGATCTGAGACGTGAATATGGTTTTATAATTGCAAGTTCTACTGAACTCGGAACTAAGAACAACCCCATTTCAGCATCAACTGAATCAATCCGTTCATGTTACCTTCTCGACGGCATGAAGCGCCGCTCCGTGGCCTCCAACGCCAGCCCCAATGATCAACAAATCGTAATCGAACGATTTAGGAGGGGCCCCATTGTCGGACAACGCAGCCGCTACTTTCTTGAGGTGCCCGCGACTAGAGAGATGCACTCTACGATTGGTATCACTGAGCTTGAGAGAAGTGAATCCTAAAGCCTCGCGCCTTAAACCACAGAAGCGAAAATTCAAAAGCCCTCCATTATCACTGAGCGCCAAACACTCTGAATAATGATGTGATCTGGAAATGGGAGCAGCGGAGCTGTGAGAGAAAGAGAGAGAGAAAGAAGACTGCATTTTGGAGAGAGGAGGAGGGGGAGACTAATGGAAATGGCCCGAGCGGGAGAGTGATGTTAGATAGGGAAGAAAACTGGAAGGATTTGAAGAGAGGAAGGGAAAAACCTCGAGAAGTCCGTTGGGAGTTAGGAGAGGGCGGATATATCAAAGCGCGGCGGATCAACCACTTTCGTTAGCTTTGCACCCTGCGCTGCTTTCCATTGTTTTTGTTCTGTTCCCCTCCCAGTTCAAATTCATTAACGAATTACGCAAGTGCACAGTAACTAAAAATTTTCCTCGCAGATTGCTTTTATTTGCCTTATAAGATATAAGATAGGGTTAAAAAAAAAAAAAAGAGATAGGGTCTTTTCCTTTTTTAAAAAAAAAATTACAAAACTTAAACGCATATGAATGAACATGCCAAGGTCGGATTACGCCGTTTTTGTTATGTCCTTTCTTCAAATTCATTAATGAATTAAGTAAATACTACTATATAGTAACAAAAAAAATTTTCTCAGCGTTGTCGATCGGGCGAGATATATTATTAAAAATGTATTAGAAATACCGGTCCTTAATATAAGACCCCATTTGACTTTTTATTTGGTCCTAATTATAAGACCTCAATCCATTTTGTTTCTCATATTTATGCATTTTTTCCAAAATAGTCCTTCTAAAAATGATAGTTCTAGCCAATACACTTAATTAACAAGGATATTTTAGGAATGACAATACTTATTTATTACAAATAACTAACTTAATTTACTTTTTTAATCTCCTCAAATAAGTTAACTGGATCTTATAATTAGGACCGGAGGTAGTATATATTTTGTGCTCTGATGAAGCGAGAAGGTGAATTAACTTTTACAAAATTTTTACATATTTAGTTTACATTTTTGTTTGAAAAATAAGAATTTTTTTTAATTCTTATAGTTTTAATTAGGTTATAACTCAACTTTTAAACTTTAATTTGATGTACTTATAATTTTAATTTATCTATAACTCGATTTATAATTTTAACTTGATACTATTCAGTCCTTTTTCTTTTTTCTTTTTATATATACTATTCAGTCCCTTTTAATATACTATTCAGTGCCTCTAATTTACCTATTTAAAAAATTGGTGCCTCTATTTAAAAATCAAAGTACTAGTAGCATAAAATCCTCTCAATTGACTACGTAAGCGCCTAATGTAGATCGTTGAGACCATTAAATGGTTTTCCTTCCGCTTAGTCTTTCTATCTTTGCCTTGTAAAATTTTGCTTTTAAGGTAATAGTATCCAGTTATTGTTCAAAAAAAACAAAAAACAAAAGTATCAGTACTCTGCAAACGACATCTCTCAGTTGTTTTGTTGGCGCAGGCTGAGATCACTTTAAGCCTTATTCTATGTAATATGATTAACCAGTTGTTTATCTCAATTGATTAACCATTGATTGTCTCTCATTTGAGCTATCAAACCAAAAATATGTACTCCTCCGGTCATTAATGTAGACTCAGTTCTTGAGTTAGTTTTGGTTCTAAATATAAGACCCATTTTTCATATTTATTAATTTTTTTCTAAAATACTCATATGAATACTCTCTCAACTATAATCAAGTAGAAGAGGGAAATGATGTATTAAAAAATAGGGTTATGGTATTTTAGGAAAAATATGTCACTTTTCTTATAATTAATTAATTTACCTAACTTTCTTAATTTAATCAAATTAGTTAAATGGATCTTATATTAAGGACCGGAGGAGTATTAGTTTTTCTAAAATTTTGTTTATTTTAATTTTTGGCAACTTATTTATCTTAATTAATATGTGCAAGTAATAAAGATGGTTTGGACTAAAATAATAAACGTGAAGATTAAAAAAAATTGGGGTCCCTCCGTTAAAATCAAAACAAACTTTTCAAATAAAAAACAGATAAAATAATTGTCAAAAGTAACATTCCTTCCATCCCTTTACAAAGAAATAATATTGCTTGTAGCGGTGTCTTTAAATATAAGAAGCAAAATTTTTTGCCTGAAATTTTAATCTGGTTTTTCCATTTTTATCATTAAGCATATGCCACTTATTATCTTTCGGCAACATATTTTTATTCATTATCTCTCGTGTATTTTTTTTTACAAACAATAATATGGTTATAAAACTATCTATATATCTTACACATTTATTACTTTTAGTTAAATTTAATTAATATTTTGAATTCCATGACTTTGATAATTATTTGTTATAATAACAAATGGAGGGAGTGGCTTGGGTCAGCACCAAGCAATCAAAGCAATAGCTTGCATAAAAATCAAAGTAGTCTAATGGCTTAGGTCAGAAATAAAATGACGAAAAATCTAAAAGCATGTTCAACTGTTTGTTTTGTTTTTTTTATTTTGGCATTCTTTTATTGAAAATAAATATATTTGAAATACTGTCATGCATTAAATATGAGCACTCTCTTCTTAGCAGGGATTCAAATATTTATTTATTGCAATATGGGGACTAATTCATTTCGTTAAACTCAATTCTATTAGTCGAGTATTTGTTTTTATGTGGAGTATTGACGGATAGGTCGTGAGAAACGAGAATACCAACGTCAACGTTATATGCCCTGGATGTTTTTTTTGTTAATCTTGACGTGCCCTGGATCTCAATCACGCTGACGCTGTAATGAAAACCATTTCTCGATCTAATTCCTTCACAGCTAAATAAGTGAATTTATGTGCGCTGCAACTTTTCCAGCTTCAACACTAATCACATACTTACGTGAAATTCCAATTTTTCCCCTTATGCAGGGATTTTAAAGTTATTGAAACTAAATAGTTCCCATGATTATGCGAGCATTCAAAAGCCTCTCAAACATAAAATACTACCTTCAATATTTAATATAAGACCCTGTTTGACTTTTATCTTGCTTCTAAATATAAGATCTCAATCCATTAATCTGGAACCGGAGTTTAGTTCCCGCGTACATTAATCTGCACAGAGTTTAGTTCATTTTTGTTTTTATATGGCTATCACCATAGTTGATTTAAAAAAAAAAACACGGGCACACACAAGACCTGTGTTATATAATTAAAAAAAGAAGAAGTAAAGTTGTCTCCCGCCATCTTTAAAGTCTGCTAAAACCGTTAGAAGTTAGATGAGCACGATCGTTTTGCTTTCTAGCTTTACAAGAATAATCCACCTACAACATTGTATATTACTCCATCCAATCATTAATATAAGGTTTAATTGGAGGCTAAATTTAGTTGTAAATATAATATTGTAATTTGCCTTTTCTTTTATATTTATCATTTTAAAAAAATATTTATTTAATTTTCAATTGATAAATCTAAAAATATATAGGGATGTTTTGGAGAGATTATATAAGACTTGTTCTAATTTATTAATTATTAATACATCCTATTTTTCAGTCTCATCAAAATAAGCAAATAGTTATTGTATCAATGACTAGATATAGTATTAAATAACAGTTAGATTTAGACAGAGTGGGAGTCAAAAAGTGCAATGCGAAATAGTATCCAAAGATAATGAAATTATACTATATCCTATGCTGCCGCCTGGTCATGACTCATGAGCATGACATGTGGTTGTTTTTCCTTAATGCTCAGGAAGAGGGATAAATTATCATGCTTTGTCCAGTTTTTGTGGAACTCGATGGTTGGTCCATTTGCCGCCAACCTGGGCTAGTTTAATGATATTATTATTACTAGAGTATCTGGCCAAAAAAAAAAAATACTAGAGTATTAAAAATAAAAAAATCATTAATTTTTGGAAGGAGAATGTATTTTTCCATTAATTATAAATTATCAAAATAAATATAGTATTTTAATTCAAAGTTATAACAATTTTGTTTTGAGAAAACAGGACACGAGTTTTTTATTAGAAAAATGATGATTGATTTACTGCACAAATATAACCAAGTTCTTTTTTTTTTTATAGGATAGATAAGTTTTTCACACGAATATATAATTTTGTTTTTTATTTATTATTATGTTGATTTTGTTCTTGAGAGATATAACATATATTAAATAATAATAAAGTTGAAAGGTTGTTAAATTTTAAAAAAAAGTTGTGAAGTTTAAAATCTTTTTTTGTCTATATAAAACATGTTAGAAATGAATTATAGATATGACTAGAAAAATATAATCTATTTCAGCCATGTGTGAAACATAAGATATTTTTTGGGATTTTTTCCTATTTATGTACTTTCCTAATCATATTTATAAGTCACTTCTACTATATTTTACACAGAAACTCTAAACTTCATCAACTCTAATTTAAAATTCAACAATTTTCTAACTTTATTCTTATTTAATATACATTATAACTCATGTAGACAAAAAAAACATAATAGTAAATTAAAGGTAAAATTGTACATCTTACAAATTTTTTTTTCTTAATACCTTGTAAATATGATAAAATATATTTTCTCCATGCCATATGAATAAGACATGAGGAATATAACAAAAAAAATATTGCACAATGTTAATAAAAAAAGTTATATTCATAAAAATGTTTTGCTCTCGTTTAAAGAGTACAGTTTTTTAAGCACATGGATCATCTTAGTGGAAATAATTTTATTCAAGATGTTATTCAAATTAAATATGTACACCTTTTTAAGGGGATTTTGAGTCTTGGTCCCTGACATTTTGAGTTGGACAACCTTGATTGGTTCGAGAATTTGAGTTAATTTTATATATGCTTGGACAATTAATTTCACAAAACATCGATCACCCTTTGTTGAGGCCTGGGGAACCAAAAAGCAGCTTCAGCCTGAATTTACCGAAGCAGGGCAAAGCCATCGTACGAAGTCAGCCAATGAAATAGGTCCACGATGAATTTTGGTTGACTATAAAAGTCATTTCACAATGACATGAACCCCGCGGCAACGCTAACGTAACGGCATCTGCTAGTGTTACGCCCCGCACTCGTGTGACGGATGGCGTCCAATGATTGGAGCTACTTACCTTATTCTGTCACAGTAAGTAACCCTCGTCTCCACGTGTAATATTCCTCATGAGCCAATCAGACGGAAACAAAACAGAAAATCGAAGGAATTATTATTGTTAGCGTGTGTGCGCGCGCGCACTGCCTCCTTCGAGTCCCGGGGGTGCGGGACCCACGAGAAAGAAGCGCGCCCTTATAAACGCGGGCACTAACGTCAATGGCGTGTTCGTGATTTCATCATGAAATCAGGGGTATTCTGGAGATTTCGTCTCGGCAATCCTGGCCTAATAGTTTTCTACTTCTCTTTTGCTTAATCGAAGGTCGGGGACACACACCAGCGCAGGGAGGGAATATTAAAGAGGGGAGAGAGAGAGAACAGAGAGGGGGTGAGAATCGTGAGTTCGCGCTGCTACGTCAATGGCGGTTAGGGTTTCCTGTTGATCCCCCGAAACTTAATTTCCTTGTCGTAGTACTTTTCGCTCATTCACCTTCTCAAAACCCTAATTTGAATACCCCCGAGATTCAGTATCTCCGCGTTTGCTTTCAATTTTGAATTACACAAGAAGGAGCAGTGATGGGCGCGCCGGAGAAACCACAGGCCAGCAATAATTCGATGCAGGCAAGTGACTAAAGCTTTCGACTTTGCCCTAGTTGCAGTCAATGCAGATATTCGCTTGTCGATGTAGTTTGCAGGTTGAAGTTTGTCCTTGTGTCTACCCGTATTTATAACTTAATCAACTGCTGTGGTGCTATAAGCTCTAATTAATTGAATGGTGGTAGAGTCGGAAACATTTGATACAATTAATATTTACTATTTGCGTTTCGTTTGGACACCAGTCCGGTTTTCTTAAATATCCGCTACAGCAGTTTGCTAAACTACTCAGTTAAGAAGCAATGCTGTAGGCCGCTGCGCTTTGTTGGGATATTGAACGATCGACAAACTTCTCATAAAGCAAGCCTTTCTGAACAAGCGCTTCTTTTATAAGCATTATTTTCTAAAGATGAACCAAACAGGGTTGAGATGAAATGGTTAGCAGATATTGATATCTTTTGTATCCTTTAAACATTATTGCATAGGACTAGAACGTTGGACTGTTAAAATGTGGGACGATAGTAAAGTGAAGGAAGATCAAGACTCATAGTTACAAATTAGTGTTTGTCGAGAAGCATAGTTTAGCAAAAGGAAAGACAATGTTATGTAATTGTGACTCACTTGTTAAGATTAATGGCCACGTTAGCGGAATTGTATTCCGTTTATAATTACTGCAGGGTCTCTTAAGGGTAAAATTGTGAATTGAAATGATAAACATATGCTTATTGGTACTTTAGAAGTTTTTTGGGCGTGGATTGATAATGATAATCTTGATATCCAGGCCATGGTTATAAATTAATCATCCCAGACAGTTGTGCAACAGCCTTTTTCTGTATAACTTCTTTTTATATTCCCTTCACATTGTTGCTTATGGTGCACTCCATAGTGTACGCAAAGCGCACATCAGTTTTATAATTCAAAAGCCTAACACATCACTTCAATCAACCAAAGTAATGGTTAGGTATATTAAATAAAGTATAAAAAAGCTGATTTCATGAATTTGTTGAAAAGTTTTAGAGAGGAGGTATGAGTATGGTAGCTTCCTCAATTGTCATTCTTGGTGTTGAAAGTTTGAGTGGAGGATATCCTAATTGGACGTATGGTTAGTCAGTACTCAATAATGTACATATGCGAAAATTGAAGTTTGTTCATATAAATTTACTTCCACACTCGTGGCATGTTAAAATATGTCACCAGGAAATTTAAGCCTACAAGAAAATTGGCTACTTAATGGTTACAACCTGAGAGAAAAGTGAAATGGGTTTATGTATCATCTATTTATTTTTCCCTATCCTATTGTCGATCATTTGCATTTTGTTTCAGTTCTTTTTATAGCTTAATGAGTTCTGAAAATAGAGGCACAATAAGGAAGACTTTTGTGTGATTCTGATGAGAGGAGCTTTTTGAGCTGCCTGATAGGCCTTGGTTTTGAAGCAAGCAGTTTAAACCTGCTCTGAGTTTTGACTTTAGTTTGGCTTAGTGCGCCTTTTAACTGCAGTGTTCTTTTCATCATTTTGGACTTGGTAGTTCTCCTATTGCCTGTCATATCATAAAAAAGTATTGATGCTTGAGATTATTCTCGTCAGGTTAGCGCAAAGTGATTGCATTCTGTTTTGGTATCTGCTGCTGCTTGCTTTACTTTGCTGCTGCCTCTCCCTCTTGTTAAAATTTGGAGAAAATAGGATGAAAAAGGAAGAAAGATGGCCTCGCATATGCATCATGATTTTGGTCTTGCAAATAGTTGATTTTAATAGAAGTAATCAGTTGGGCTACTTTAGCTTCTGGCTTATTTATCATATTTTGTGTATTTATTCATTTTTTAATCACGATTTAAACATTTGGAAATTCTTCATGAAATTGTGATATTGTCTTGATTGTGGAGGGGCTGACATGACTTGTCTTCTTTTGACCTTGATATATTTCTACTTAGACTTCGTTTTTGTTGGTTTCAGCGTGTCAAGGTCTACCGGCTGAATGATGATGGAAAATGGGATGACCAGGGTACTGGGCATGTCACTGTTGATTATTTGGAGGTTTGTCTATCTTGTTAATAAGGCATTTTATTTGAGACTAAAATGCTTATTATGTCTGTGCATGCTGTTTTTTTTTTGGTGGATGTTGGGGGGTGATATGCATGGGCGAGACTTCTGTTCATATCTTTCTGATTTTGAACTATAACAATTGTATTTATTCTAATAATGTTACTATTGTTGATTATTGGGAGGTTTGCAAATCTTTGTTAGTAAGGCATTGCATTCAAGATTAATCCTTCTTATTACATATGTGCATGCTTCTTCATCATCATCTTCTTTTTGTGGGCATTGGAGTGTGGATCATGCATATGCTTAACATCTGTTTATTGTCTGCCTGTCTCGGTTGTTATCCCTTTGACTCTGAATCATAATTGTATGTTTTTGGTTAAATTCTTGTGAAGGGTGGTGAGTGGCGTAGTTTAACTGATGGTCTGATGTGCACTTTTTTTGGTTGGTACGATAAGCACTGCTCTTCTTCAAATATTCCTTTACTATTAATAATGCCTGTACAATTTAGAGAGAGTGATGTTGAGAGATAATGGGAAATAGAGGAAGAGAGAAACAGAAGTAGGAATAGAGAGGAAAACAGATTTGAGAGAAAAAGTGGAACTCACTTCATAATCTGTTAACAAGTGAATTGCAAATCGTTAATTTCTTATTTATAGCCTACTGTGGCCTTTTGCTCTAGTGTTCACTAATGACCTGTTAGTTATCATTGGTATTTTTATATTTATGTAACAGAAAGCTTATTGCGTATTAACAAGAAAATAATCTGATGGGTTACTATATTCATATGAATGAGTTAAAATCTTATAATGCAGCGGTCTGAAGAGCTGGCTTTGTTTGTTTTGGATGAAGAAGACAATGAGACCATACTTTTGCATCGCATCAGTTCTGATGATATTTATAGGAAGCAAGAAGGTAATTGATAACTTCTCATGCCTCCTCGAATATTATGTATAAATCATACGGCATCCATTACTTCTTAAAATACCTTTTGGAGCCATTAATTTGTCATTTTCTGATGGGAAAGGGTTTCTCTGTTCTTCAGATACGATCATCTCATGGAGAGATCCTGAGTATAATACAGAACTAGCGCTTAGTTTTCAAGAGACCAGTGGCTGCTCTTATATATGGTTATAAATTAACATTACTTTTTAATTAATCTTCACGTTTTTCTGTGTCTTTCTGTTCTAATGAAGTTGATGTTGATTGCTGTACTTGTTTTGTTTAGGGACCATATTTGCAGTGTACAAAGGAATATGCATTTCAATACTCTAAATAGTAAGTGTTGGTTTTTTCCTCCAATTGATCAAAGGCCTGGGAGTTTTGGGTCTCATTATCACATCTCTTATGAGTGTGTGCATGCATGTGTTGGCTTGAACAGAATTTTTCTTGGTTTTTACGAGTGTTAAGTTGATGATATATAAATGAATTTTGAAGTGATTATTATTAGCTTCTGCATAAAATGTTTGTGGAACATTCTGCTGTCTGGCTACCATGGACATCATACTTCATTTGGTTGTATCTGCTTGGTGGATGAAATTGACTATAGAACAAGTTTGATAATATCTACCTTCAATGTTGTTTTATACAAAGAAATCCTTTCCCCACAAGAGTGGACTATCCTCTGAATAATGAATAACATCCAGGATGACATTTTGGGTCTTATGCCTGCAATTTCAGATAGCCATTTTATTAGGGTATTTACATCCGCATGAATGACTATCTTTGTCATGCAGCATCTAACCTAGATTATAATTGGATGGTTCATATCTGACAGACTCCGTGCTTATTTTGAACTAATTGGCTCCATAATGACATTGTGTCAATTGTCAAAATCCTGTCTAAAGAGGGCATCTGATTTGGGAAGGAGTAAAAAAGAGAAATATAACTGAGGCCATGCTAGAGATTAATGATCATCTAGTTTATAACTTTTTGAATAGAGGCATCAACTGTCATTCAAATGAATGAAATACAGAAGTTCGCTGGAAGATAGTTTATGATTTTTATAAAAGGAAATCAAAATCTCGCTTAACCATTTGTCATTTCTAGACTTTTTGGCTGCAGAAGCATCTTTTTGATTGAAGCCTAAAGAATGAAGACATTGCTATATTTGTTACATTCGATTTTTTTTTTGAACATATTATTTCTTTGATTTAGTTGCTGACTTGTTTTATTATTCACTCTTTGGGATGTTTTGTGTTCAGGTGAGGCATATCGTAGCGTAAGCAGCGAGTTAAGTGAGCTGCCTGCTGTTGAGCTATCCACTCTTCCTTTGATTCTTAAGGTCTGTACGAATGCTTTAATCATCAATACCAATATCAATCAGTCAATCAATATATTGATATATAATAAAAAGAAGTACGAGCATATTCTAAGAAGCTTTAGGAATCGTGAAACTTGGCCAATGAATACTTGCCATTTGGGACTCTTTGCCATTGCTTTAATTTTCACTTTTTTTGTAGTCTAATTTTCTATTATAATTGAAATATATTTACCGTAAGAAATGGAGAGGGTGTACCGATATCAATTTATCTACGATAGCAATGATTATAAACAGTGCTGTTCAATTCCTAATCCTTGTCTAATGAGAAAATTTATCCGGTTTCTTTTATTATTTTGTTTCTATATTTTATTATTTATTTATATTTTGTAATCTCATTGTTTAACTTTATCAGATGTTTCTCTTAATTTGTTAAGTTTATGATCTATTGTTGGGCGAATTTGCTATAGCCACTCTGGATCTCTTGTTTTTACCTACCAAAACCAAATTACTAGTGAAGTTTGGTGATATTTGGTGGGATTCTTTACCTCCTAGGTTACCAGAGAGGGTTAATTGCTTAGCCAACTTTGGGTGGTGTTTGTCTTAGTGTTTTGTATGACATCCCAGCTCATTGAAGATGAGTGTCTGCAGGTACTGTCTGAGATTAAGGTGATGCATGTTAGATGAAGTGTTGTCACGATGGGATTGGTTAAGATTTGAGAATTGGGCTAATTCTTCTCCATATAAAAACTACTCCTCCGGTCCTTATTATAAGACCCAATTTGACTTTTTATTTGGTCCTAATTATAAGACCCAATCCATTTTGTCTCTTATATTTATGTATTTTTTTCCAAGATAATCCTTCTAATAATGATAGTTTTAGCCAATATACTTAATTAGCAAGGATATTTTAGGAATGACAACACTTATTTATTATAAATAACCAACTTAACTTACTTCCTTAATCTCCTCAAATAAGTCAATTGGGTCTTATAATTAGGACCGGAGGAGTATAACGAATGTTATTGTTTTGTTTCAATGATTTCAGAAGAGTTTTTGTGGTGGATTATTTAAAGAGTTTTCTCATAAATGATGAATATGAGCTTTCAAATTTGGGATTGTCATTAGTGTAATTTCTGATGATTCTTTAGATTTCTGTGTGTGGGTGTATGCAAAAAAAAAATTATATTGTTATTGTGACCCTTGATTTCCTGCAGTATTGCAAGTTCAATGGTATTGTTTTGGGTGTCATTGTTCTTCAGAATGTAAATTGTTTGTAAGCTTTGTGCACTTCTGTTATGTTCCGTTTTTTATAGTTGAAAAATCACAATAACCTAGCAATTATCCACATAAATCATTTTTCCCCCCACATTTGCAGACGGTGGTTGAAAGTGGCATTGCAGATCAGATGCGTCTCACAGAATTGTTATTGAACGATGTAAGTTTATATTCACCTCCTGTACTTGTGCATGTTATGCCTTCAATGGGTAGGCTGGCCTGGGGACCTTCACCGTTCTGTTTGTGATCTTTTACCATAGTTATGGATCACCAGTTTATCCAAGGTTTATGTTTGATTGCAGATCTTTTGATTTCTGTTTCTTTTGTTATATTGAGTTCAGTTGTTTTTGTTCCATCTGCAGTGTAGTATGCCATGATGGTCCTTCCTGGATATAATAGGCCTGTGGCTTTGTTCTTCCAGTTTTATTTGGACATTCTGATAATAAGAAATATGTTGGCCTATTCACTGTATGGTCTTAAAACTGAGGAAGTTGAAATTAATCAAGCTTTCATCTTGCTTTTTACTTGTAAGTCAGGACTACAGACCTAAAGAATAGACTGGGCTAGATTATTACTAGTCACGGAAGACTAACATCTCACTATTTTTCTTCATGTTTATGGTTTCTCGTTGCATAAATTGAGGATTTTTTGTGTTGACATTAAAATCTATGGAAAAAAATAATTTTTTTTTTTTGTGGGCTCAGCAAATAGAATGGAGGATATTTCTATGATGATTTATTTGATATGTTTGTTCACATGCCTGTGGATACTGGGCGTATGTCATGTTGATGACGTGTGTTTGCTTAATCATTATCTTATCACAAGATATAGGAGTTGATGCATATGATCTTTGATGATTATGGTGCTTTAGTTCTGCTAGCACTATAGTGGCCTAAGGCTATTTGTTAATGTTTTCTATATTTGAATCATTGGCACCTGTGTGGTGTCTTTTGTGCTTTGGACTCCTGTTTATGCTGCTGACCTGTATTTTAGAGTAACAGATAGATTTATGAACTCAAGTATTTTTTCCCCTCGCTTTCAATGTTAAATCCTTCTCCATTTTCACTTTTTCCAACGCAGCAAGACTTCTTTCGAAAGCTGATGGAACTATTCAGAGTTTGTGAAGACTTGGAAAATATGGATGGCCTTCACATGATTTTCAAAATAGTCAAAGGGATCGGTTAGTATTGATATTTTCTTCATTTTGATTTGCTTTCAGCTAAGCAATCCCTGTTATATAATTTTTTGTCATCTCTGAGAATTTTTTTTTTTTTTTTTGGTTCTGCAGTTTTGCTCAATAGTCAGCAGATTTTTGAAAGAATATTCGGTGACGAATATGTAATGGACATTATTGGTGCCCTTGAGTGTAAGTTTGTTCTTCTGAAATTTATTTACCAATTTATTGATTTTAGAACGTTTCTTTCTATTTTTTTCCTCATTCTTTGTCTGTAATTAGACTTCTGAACCTCATTTACTGAAATATGCAGATGATCCAGAAGTTCCTCATGTTCAAAACCATCGAACTTTCTTAAAAGAGCATGTTGTTTTTAAGGAGGTATGTTTTTGTACCTGGTTATTTCTTGTTATTTTGGGAGGAAAGCTGAAGTAGATAAGTGGGGTGGTTAGGGCAGATCTTCATTTTATAGTTCTCTGTCTTTTCTTTGTAGGCCATACCTATCAAAGATCCTCTTGTGTTGTCAAAGATACACCAGACATACAGAGTTGGTTATTTGAAGGTTCCATTCCTTTCAAGTCTTCTATTTGATTTGTTTCTTTTTAGTGTGACTCTTACCACTTCTAATTACTTTCAGGATGTAGTTCTTGCTAGAGTATTGGATGAGGCTACAGTTGCAAATCTCAACTCCATAATACACGGAAATAATGCCCTTGTAAAATTTGATTATTTTCTCACACAAGACTTTTCTTTATTGTAATGAGGTTTATCTTGTCTTTGACTGCTGTGTTACTTTGTAGGTTGTTTCTTTGTTAAAGGATGATAATACATTTATTCAGGAGTTGTTTGCAAGGTTAAACTCTCCCACCACTTCTCCAGAGTCTAAAAAAAATTTGGTGAGTCTTCTTGATCAGGAGCTGTTTTTCTATGACTTATGATAGCAGGAATTTTCATTTTTCGAAGTGTTATTTATTTATTTATTTATTTCTGAACTTGGAAATTGGAAATTGTTCCTTTTCTTGAGCTATGTAGCTTATTTATTGTGCAGTGCACGTGGTTGATGACATTATAGTTAAAGAAGAAACAGAATTTCATTATAAAGTTATGCTAATAAGCGGTCCCTGTTGTCCTGTGGCTGTCCTCTTTCTTTAGGTTATAACTCTAATTGCTATCATTCTATTGTTCCATTATTGATTTGCTCCAAAATTTTAGGAATTCAGAACGTGTAAATGTTGCTTGTCCTGAGCCGCTTTTTCTAACTTAGACTATAGTAATATTGCTGTTAAAAGTATATTAAAAACTTTTGCTTTTGATTGAACTTCATGACAATACAAATGCTTTAGAGCATCAATAACAAACAAGACTAGTTAGAGCTGCTGTAACATGTTACTACATGTTCCACCCATACAGCTGATACTATAGATATATCTTATTATAAATTACCTTGTAGTTTAAAGTATGTCTTCAATAATTGATAAGGCTTAGTAATTCATTTCCCTTAGGCTGAATGTACTGGCTAAAGATGATAAAGTCTTTGGAAGGGAATAGTTCTCCCATTTGCCTCTTATTACATCAGAGCATGATCTTGTGATAAAATTTTCTGTTCTTTCATCTTCCCTCCCTTCTTAAGTGTAATATTTTATCAATATACAAGTAGAGAGTGAGCTGCGGGGAGAAGTGGTTAAACACACAATTATATACTGCCATAGAGAAGGGTGTGAATCTTTTCTTTCAAAATAATCTCCACTTGTAGAGAATTGATGTTGTATGTTCTTGTGTGTTTTTGAAGTTCTATCTTGATTGATGCTACTGAATGACCTGACTTTATATGCATATTTTTATTATAATAAATTGCTTCTCTTTGGAATGGTCAGGTCTATTTCCTGCATGAATTCTGTACCCTAAGCAAGAGCTTGCAGATGGTCCAGCAGCTTCGTCTATTTAGGTATTTAATATATTGGACAGCACATCTGCGTGGCCCTTTCTGTGACTTGTTTTTCTTGCCAAGGTTTTAAAATCAGTTGCTGCTGTTCAAGGGTGTCTGTAATTATTTAGGCTGGATCGGAACATTTATTTACTCATGTTAACCAGAAATGTCTCAGTGAAACAGCTTCTAAATGGACTTTTGATTTTTAATGATGAAAGTTACCTACTTCTGAAAGTATAGGTAGTCGTGAGCCTATACAATTTTAAGGGTTCCTTCTTTTAACTTTTACGTTCTTATTTGTTCTTTTCCTTTGGCCCATGCTTGATCCCCTTGTTCATTGAATCAAAATTTAATATTTGTAGGGATCTGATGAATGAAGGCGTCTTTGACATTATCACTGATATTTTGCAAAGTGAAGACAAGAAGCTTGTGCTAACTGGGTACTGATGCCACTTGTCCCTTGATCCATACAACATTTTCAGCTTGTGCTATTCTTTTTAGCATTCCATATATTTACTCACTGACAGAAAATTGTTGTGATGGGTGCAGAACAGATATCCTCATTCTTTTTTTGAATCAGGATCCTGCCATTCTTAGAACTTATGTTGTTCGACAGGAAGGAATCACACTCCTAGGACTGTTGGTATGCTTCACTTGCGATTGAGATTTTTTAATTTCGAGATGGCATGCGCGTATAAAGGATCTGAATTTTAATTACGTTGTTGGTGAACCTGTTTATTTAGGATGTTCAATTTGAGTGTAAATTGAAGACAGGAAAAATTCTACTAGCAAATAGAGTATGAATAGGAGCAAAGTAATGTAGCTGAAGTACGTCCTTGCTGGGCAGTATAATCAAGCCATCTCTTGGAGGAAAGAGCGAGCATTTTAGTTGATAACTTATTGTAGTAATTTGCCAACAACCTGTTATTATTCTAAAATGAGACCCTATATCAAGTGGGAACTTTTTAATTTAAAGCTTCTGTTCTTTGTAAGGCCTTTTTTTTGGGTTTTAAATCCTCTTGGATCCTGCATGATTGAGATTTCAAATGCGTAAAGGCTCATCAAAAGTCAAGGTTTGTCTGGTCTACGAAGAAACACATGAACAATGCCAATGCAACTTGACATAACATAAAATATGCCGGAGCAGTTTGAAATCTAATGTTGTCTTCAATTCAAGTGTTAAAATCCGTTGACATATACCTGGCTACATTTTTGGGGTATTCTTGCTTTGTATGAGCTAGTTGTGGAGTTTGGGCTTCTTGTATATGTCAATGAAAATAAAATATAAATCTATAACAAACGTTATTAATGTCAAGCCATAAACAGGCTCCATGCAATGCATCAGGAAAACATATCTAGTTTAATTTTTTTAAAAATAAAGCGAAGTGGAGTCCAGCCAGAGTTTTTTTGTAGTTGAGTTGAAACTACTGAGTTTGCCCTATTCATTATTTTGTTCGTACTTGTTTCCATGCTCTGTTGCAGTCATATTTTCTTCCCAAGCTTCCATTTTTCCTTGGTCCCCACCATCTCTTAAATGAGTTGTCTTAATTTTTTTTTTTTTAAAATTTTATCTCACAGCATTGTTTGCTATGATATGCTACAGATGGCGTCTCCCTCTATTCACAGTGATCCCTGTTGAGTGTGCCTCATCTAGAGGTGGGGAAGGGTTAATTTTTCATCCGGGGAGATGGGGTGGGAACAGATTTTCCCTTCATCAAAATATGGGTGTAGCGATACTTGAAAGAGTTCCGTTATTGCTCCCATTCTGATAGCGATTTGAAAAATAACTAGCTATGGATGTTCACTTAACAGCATAAACCTTTGGTTGAAGGGGTCCATGGCAGAATATAAAAGCCTCTATGATTAAGTAGTCTGAAGTTTCAATCCTTGGCACCTTCTGTTCTCTTCATTAAATACTCCCTCCGTCCCCTTGGCACCCTTTGTTCTCTTCATTACATACTCCCCCCGTCCCTTATTATAAGATCCAGATAATCAAATTGCTTGGTTTAAGAAAACTATTAAAATTAGTTCAAAGTAATAAATATGCAGAATATACTTTTCTTTCCAGACATGTCCTTATTATAAGTGGGTAGGTGAGAGTGAGAAAAATTTGGAGGGAGGGAGTACCTTTTGGTCTAAGGTATGCTGAGCCCATGCTTTGCCTCATTTCAAGCCCAACAGGATTTTGTATGACGAGGTGTATTTGAGATTTTACGTTAAATTGTTCATGACCCTCCCTCAACAACTTAAACTTCTAGATATTATGGTCCGTCATTGATGTGTCTCCCGAATTTTGTTTTGCCCTCATTTGAATGAGGCACATGATGCATCAATACACGCACATAGTGTACACACAGGCATTTTTCCTAATTACTAGAAAACCATGTTGATTCCTTGATTTTTAGGCCAAGTGTTTACTCTTTTGGTGCTTTGTATTTCTCTTTCACAATTTTTTATGATACTTTAGCTATGATTTTTTTTTGAAGGTCAGTTCACAAGGTATTTATTAGCTGTTCCTTCATGGACAGGTTAAAGGAATGATAACAGATTTTGGAGATAACATGCATTGCCAGTTTCTTGAGATTCTTCGCAGTTTATTGGACTCTTGCACGTTATCTGGAGCCCAGGTTTTCTTCTTTCTAATTGTCTGGTCCCTAAATTAAACTTTCGATAGGATTCATATGACCTACATTCTTCTTGACGGAAAACATTATGTATCACAGTTATAGCCTTCCTGTTTCTTATTTATTATTTATTTAGCAATGCATGAAATTTGATTTAGTGTTCTTGTACAAGTTTTTTGATATACTTTTCTAATTTATCATGGTCGCTTGTAGTTTTAAGTGATATTTATTTTGCTAATTATAATTAATTTGAAGTCTTTTCAGTTAGTGCAAACTCTGGTTTTGTTTTGGGGTTAAATGTTATGGAGATTAAAACTTTGAGTTGCTTCTGAAGAAGAATTCCTAGTGAAAGTACCCCCTTACAAAGGAATCAATTAAGAATGTCGTGGGAGATGTGAGGCCTAAGACATTGTACTGTGGTTATTCACTTCCCCACATTCCCTTCTGTCTTCTTGAGTTTCCACTAGTTGATGTGTACCTAATGTGGTTGATTTTGTTTGAGACATCTTTAGTAGGTCCCCTCCTGGCTAAGTTGAGCGTAGTAATTTCTACGTAGGAAGGTGTGATTAACTGTTTTGTCATGTAGTCTGCAGTTATCCACCAACCCAGATACTTATGGTTAATATTTACTGAATTTGCAGCTAAATAGTTCGGTATGGGTCCAATATGTTTTCAATCACCATGGATAGTAGTGGTTACTATGTTCTGAAAGTACTGTTAGTCATGTATGTGGTTCATATGCTGTCAACGGTTAGCATCCAACTTGAAGCACTAGTATCATGTCATTTGTAGGGGGCAAATAAGAGGAGGAGGGAGGGGGAATTGTTGGTTTGGATATGGTGGAAGCTTTCTGTTTGGTTTAATAAGTGGTTTTAGTTTTCTTGCTTTATAATGGCTTTTTCATTTGGAGTCAACACATTTAAGTTTTTTTATGCAGGTCTTAATTTTGAATGTTGACTTGTGTTTTATAATATGTCTGCTGATTTGTTGGAAAACTTGTCAGTTTTCATGTAAGATGGAGGTCTCTTTCTAGGTTCGTTAGATTGTTATTACTGGACTAGTTGTGTTCACTATTTTAATTTTTTTTTTCCCTTCCTGACAGAGGGACACTATTATTGATATCTTCTATGAGAAGCATTTGGGGCAACTGATCGAAGTAATAGCAGCATCATGTCCTTCTGTTGCTCGTGCAAGTAGCAATTCAGTGGATCCCAGTCAAAGGGTCAAGTGTCGGATGGAAACAAAACCAGAGATATTATCAAACATAAGCGAATTATTATGCTTTTGTGTGCTGCATCACCCATACAGGATAAAGTATATTGCTGCTGTGCATTATGTCATTGATATACCTTTAGGAATTTGCTGCTGCTCATGTTAATTTTGAGTGTGAATTTTTCTGTTGCTTGCAGATGCAACTTCCTTTTGAACAATGTGATTGACAAAATTTTGCTTTTGACACAAAGAAGGGAGAAATACTTAGTTGTTGGTGCTGTTCGATTTGTTCGTACTATCCTCTCTCGTCATGTGAGTCTTAATATCTGCACTAATAAAATGTTTGATGAATTTTAGGGAAATGCAGAATGGATGGTGGTGGAGTTGAAAAGCAAGTGTTGTTAATTTTAATGGTCCATTGGTCCCCAATTTCATGTTAGGATAGGATTAGTGATGGTTTTTTTAATGGACACTTAGGTGGTATGTTATGCCGAAGTCTTGCGGTGAACATTAGGGTATCTAAGTTTCATAATTGAGTGGCAATGGGATCCTTAATTGGTATTTATGTGCTTGTTTGGGATCACAATTGGACATGCCAAAAGCACTTATTCACATAATTTGAAGCAAACCTGTCACATACTTGCCTCTATTCCATTAATTATGATTGCAAAGTTGCTTATGAAGAATTCTACTGCCATTCCAAACAAGCACTATGTAGATTGGCTCTCCAACCTCAATAGTTAACTTTTGGGGGAGGGTTCCTCATTTTACTTGAGTATCTATCAATTGTTATCAAAGTTGACGGTCATTGGTTCTGGAAAGGGCTGCCTATTGAGGGTTTTGACCGTTGGAGGATTCTAACTAAAAAGGAAGATGAGTGAAGTGTTGTAGATTCTATCGGGATGCCTAAATCTCACATAAAGTAGCATAGGACCCTCAAGAGGGTATTCAAGTAAGTTCTCCACTTTTCTAGGTAGCTTTTGGAGGAGGTTAGTGTTAAGAATGGTTTGAATTTGTTTAGTGTCCTATATTTCCTTTTGTTTCCATGTTATTCGGGTTTTGCTGCCACTTTGTGGTGGATGACCCCCTTTAAGCATTTTGCTTAACATGTTGGAGTGTTGACCTGCAGGACGAGCATCTGATAAATCATTTTGTTGGGAACAACCTTCTCAAACCAATTGTAGATGCTTTTGTTGACAATGGCCATCGCTACAATCTGCTAAACTCTGCAGTTCTAGAACTTTTTGAGTATATCCGGAAGGTACTTTCTTTTATACCTATGTACCGTGCATCTTAAATGTTTGAAGCAATTATGTACTGATAACATTGTATGCTGCAGGAGAATCTAAAATTGTTGGTGAAATATTTAGTTGATTCTTTCTGGCCTCAGCTTGAGAAATTTGAGTATTTGGCTTCCATTCAATCACTGAAAGTAAAATATGAGCAGGTATTTTCCTTGCCGCTGCTCCTGGTTTTGGCGCATATGTTGCTCCTTCTGTTTTTGGCGCAAATGCCTGAATCTGACGTTACATTTTTGCTTGCAGTGTTTAGATAACGGGGGGCCAAAAAGTACTGTTAATGTGACTGATCCCCGGAGACGAATTGATGAACGGGCTCTAGAGAAAGAAGAGGAAGACTACTTCAACGAGGACAGGTACATTCTCTCTCTCTCGAGAATTGTTGGAGATCTCTTACATCTATAATGTTGTCTTACTCTGTTGATTGAATCAGTGATGAGGAAGACACAGCTTCTGCATCCGTTTCCCACAATCAGAAAGGACAGCCACAGCAATCTAATTCATCTAATGGTTCTGCAAGCGTCTCACAGACAAGGTAGGTTCCATTTTCCTGTATTATGGAAATTGAATTGTTCGCATTCCATATGTTCCAAACTGATATGTTAATTTGGAATTATGGCCCAAGGTCTGGTGGTCTAGTAGACTATGATGATGATGAGGATGATGAGGATTACAAGCCACCGCCAAGGAAGCCAGAAGCTTCGGATGAAGATGAAGGGACTATGGAGTCTCTCAGGCTAAAACGGAAATTGCCTCCCAAAGACAGAGAAGCCGAGCATGTGAAGAAGCAGAAGTGGTTCAAGTATCCAAAGTCTAAAGATGGTGTTTTTTCTGCCCTATGTTCAACAACACTGAGCCAGGCCGTGCTTCCTGCTAAGAAAACTGCAATCAACGTACATGGTAGTCCTGACGCAGCTGAAGGGAGAATGAGCTCTAGTGACAACAGTGAAGAAAAGGCATCAAGTGCTCCTAGAAACTCTTCAGATAATAACAGCGCAACCGCTGAAGTGAATCATGTAGAGGAAGAAACTACTGCCTCGAGGAACTGTTCTGATCACTTGCATGGCAACGAAGATAATAGACAGTTGGATGGTGAGGAACGTCAACTGGTGCCACCAAATTCCTCACCGGAGATGGCTGTAAATGGATCATAAGTAGTATTTGGAACCATGTACAACAAGGCACGGATAGTCTATTCTATTATGACGTGGATTTGCTAGTGAGCTGACTGCCAAAGCAAGAGCTTTGAGACGACGAAGGACAAGGGACATGGGGGAAATGTCGCTAGGTACCATACCGCCAAAGAGGATCACGAGGAGATAACATAGCGTGGCACCTAAGAGGCGGGGAAGATATTAATGCCATCAACTTGGATCTTATCCTCTCCTCCGGCTCCTTGTCTAGTAATTTCTTGCTTTTTTGTATAACATTCATCAGCATTAATTTTCATCTTTTCTTTTTCTTTCCCTTTCTCTGCTCTCTCTGTTTTTTTTTGCTTACTCGAGCCCTTTTCATAAATCCTGCCAGAAAAGAGGGTGGGTTGGGGAAGGGGGGTGAGGGAGATAGAGTCCTGTTACCATCATTCCCTTTTTCGGTTGCTTGAACTTGGTGATCCAGGACATCAATATCTGCCTTCCACAGGTTTTTTTTTTTTAATGTTTTTGTGGTGGATATGGTAACAGGATTGTGCAGTGAGTTTGTAGGGTCAATTTTTAGCAAATGTAGCGAGTTAAAAGAATCCAGTGTATATTTAAATATTAAAATTTCAATGTATTTTTCAACTTTAGTTGTTCTATTTCTGGATAACCACACTTGTCTTCACCATCAGACATTTAAAGTTACTTCTGTGTTTCTGTTACTCCTGCGCCCCTGTTTTTCTGTTACATTCTTGATCGCAACTATTTTTCAAACTCCAGATTACTTTCCAAAAAGAAGTTAAGGGTTACATGAAAGACACGTCAGAGGTTGGAGTCCTGTCCGTAACATCAGCTTGAGCGAGATGTAAAATCCTCACGTGTTTACCAATTAAGAGTTGGGTCTAGTAAAAGGGGTTAATCTCTCATAACATGATAAATTCTTATTAGAAGAGGTATCTATGTTTAGTGTCGGACTCGAGTTGGATTGTATCTACTAGGAAGATAATTATGTCTATATAAAATCCTAAAGTGTGGTCCTAGGTAATGTTGCAGCCGAATTCGAAGTGGCTACTATAGATTAATTCAAATTAGTGGTAAATTTAAACTGTTCAGATGTTTTTATGACTGGAGTATCTTATATTGGATCAAGCGAACATTTCTCTCTCAAACAATAAATATACCCCAATACAACTAAAGATTGACAATTAAGCGTCTTGAAGAGAGCAAATTAAACGTAGTTGCCGCTCTTCCGCTTTTAGCAGGGAAGAAACTGTTCATTTTTGTTTTCTCTGTCGGAAGACCGGTTGCTTTGCAGAACAAAAACTCAGAAACATGAACATAAAGGCGAATATAAAAAGTCAGGGAATGGAAAAAAAAAAAAAAGAGGCATGAGTTATTACTAATACAAGATGGACAAGGGTTAAAAGGGTTGAAATTTAGGTTACTAAAATGCATACAGAGAAGGAAGTGGCAAATGGGTTGGCAACAGCAGAAAGTGCCACGTGCGAGTGATAGCAACACGTGTTATGAGTAGTAGTTGTGTGCGGTGCATTGTTGTAGGCTGGGGAACAATATAACAAAAGAAGAGGAAGCTTGGCTTTGTGAGTGTGAGGGAGCAAAGATGAGCAGCAAGAACTTGGATTCCAGATCTCTGATACAGGGACTTCGTAGCTTTGATAATGAAGTTCCCCTCTTCGACTTCGGCCATCCTCTTCTCAATCGCGTCTCCAACAGCTTCCTCAAAGCTGCTGCGGTATAATATTGCATGGTTAATTATTTACATGCTTCTTCATATTTGCATGCATGTGATGAACTCCTCTTGTCTCTCCAATCTGTGACAGATAGGAGCTATCCAAGCTATGTCCCGTGAGGCTTATTTCACGGCTGTCGAAGGTGCCATGCTTCTCCCTTCTTCTTCCCCGCTCGTCTCTCTTCTTCTGAAGTCACCGTTTTTACACCTGTAATGTAAATGATTTTCTAGGAGCGAGCCTTGATAATGGTGGCAGCATCGTACCCGATGTTTCAGATGCCAAAAGAGCTCGTTTTCCTGGTCTCGGAGGTACATCATATTCGGCCATCTAAATTTTGTATATCTGACTCTCTCTTTCAAATTTACTCTGCTTATTTGTTGCTTAAATGTTCCGTGCACGTACCCAGGAGAGACTTAACAGCAAATCTCTTGAGGCCATGGTGAGTTTATAAGCAACCTTATGCTCATTTATTCCCCAGTAATGTTTCTTAGTCTTGATTCTTTTACCTTTGTTTTTTTTGCTGCTCAGATCAAGAATAGCGGAAAGGAGTCCTTTCAATGGGGTAATTATGATATATTCCCCTTAATGTCTATCTCATGTGCCTTTATATGTATATGAATGTGAATTTGCTTGATTTTGTTTACCAGTGGAAAATTAACTTGAGCAATATCTCAATCTGTTTAATGAAAATGGTAGTTAAACTTGTTTTCTGATAACGGATTGAAGTCATTAATTAACTTCTCCATGTTGAAAAATTCGTAGCCTCTTCCCGTTCCTTCCCATCCTTTTCTTTTTTTAGATTTTAATTTTTTATAAATTTTTTTTGAAAACATGTAGTGTATTTACAAATGATTAGAATTAAATTTTAATATAGTTTGTAATTTATTATTTATTTATTTTTATAATTTAATATTTTAATAATAGTTTTAAAAAGATTTAAATCTAAACTGTTAAAATATTAATCTAACGGTTAAAAAAAAGGTTAAAAAGGAAAGAGGATGTGAAAAAAAGAGGAGAGGTTATAAATCGGTATATCTTAAAAAAGATCCACATATTTAGGGGTATCAAATAAAATAGGAGGCATGCGTCTACTCCGTTGCATTATTGAGGCAATTCATTGCACCAAAAGTCCAAAACCTATTTTTTCCCCTTCCCAAAATAGATAGGAAATGATATAATTAATGCGCACATTGTATTTTTTTTTATATGATGATGCCGTTTTATTATGAGAGCCCTATATAAGCAGCCCTAAGTTGTTTCAATCCATAGGACTTACAAGTTTGGTCTGTCTTACCAATCAGATTTGAAACTTCGATCGAGTCCCTTTCATGGTTTTGGATAGACTTCCATAAATTTGTTTGTCAATTTGTTAATAAATTTTATGTATCTGACTGGCTGGCTTGCAGCTACTATTAATTCAATCCCTCACAACTTCATAAAAGATCCATTACAAAAACTACGCAATTTTATACATAAAAAGAGTTATTTTCACATTAATTGACTCAGATTAACTATAGATCACGGTTGGCATCTGCAAATTTATAGGGGAAAAACAAATTGCATCTCTTTTTCTTTTTCTGCCAAATTATATATCTTAAATTGTTAATTATGTCTGGATGCATGGATCAATAAGATATCTTGCATATCTATCATACTTTGATTTACAAATTAGAATATTGACTAACTTGTGCATGTACGGGGGAGAGCCGTCGCCATGTGGCTGCATCGAGTTGAAGAATGAGCTAAAAAGCTTGAATTTGAGTGGCTAGTCAAAACACTCAATCTGGGTAAAATTTGAAAATGGACAAGAAAATTGTGCTATTATCGATTAAGCCGAGGTTCCCAGGTTTTCATGTAGCATCTTTTCTATTCATTTTGTTATGGGAGCCTCCATTGACCTGACACGTACGCACTCCGAGGCCTTATTCTTCATTCTTCACCAACCATTAATCTAACTTCGTTTTCATTCACATCGGCTCGTAGTTAAAATAAGCCAAGTCACTGATGCGTCCTTGAAAGATCATTCAATTTTTTTTATATTTAAAAATACTCCTTTTTTTTTCTTCCTTTTGGTTTTTGTATTAGATTTTATACAAGACTTCAAAAGTCAACAGTGAACAAATATATTTTATCAAAAAATAAAAACAAAAGTGAAACGATAGAACTGAATATGAGTGAATCCGATTGATCGCATGGTATTTATTAGACTATCATAAGTTCCTCAAGAATTATGAGTTTTTATCAAATTCCAATTCACATATATATATATATATATATTAATCATTTGGAAATCCCAATTTATGTATGTTCCTTAATCTAATCATTTTGAGGTCGAAGAAAGGACACGAAAACCTTAGGGTCGTAGAAAGTGAAAAAAGTTGAGTCTTAATTTGAAATAATTTGATGAGATTGTCAATACCGATCTCTAGTTGATTTTATACGCAGAATATGCATTCATTTGTGTCGTTTATTTGGAACTAACTAACTTAAAGTATTTATGAGTTTATTTTGAAAGTAATTAATAATTGAAGTGAGAGACAATAAGACATGACTTCGCAGGTGGAGTTGGTAAACATAGATTACTACTATCTCTAGTTCTATTTATAAAAACTAATTGACTGAGTTGGTAAACATAGACTACTACTATCTCTGGTTTTATTTATAAAAATTAATTGAGTGACTTAAAAAGATTTAAAAAAAAAAGTTATTGATAATTGAAGTGAGAGACAATGAGACATGACTTCTCACGTGGAGTTGGTAAACATAGACAACTCACCAATTGAAACCAAACAAGAAAAGGATAAGATATTTTGAAAGTAATTGATAATTGAAGTGAGAGTCAATGAGACATGACTTTGCACGTAGAGTTGGTAAACATAGACTACTACTATCTCGATTCTATTTATAAAAACTAGTTGACTGATTTAAAAAGATTAAAAAAAATTAAGTTAATTATTTATAATAAATAAGTATTATCTTTCTCAAAATATATTTACTAATTAAGTATATTAGTTATAACTACTACTGTTAAAAAGACTATATTAGAAAAAATATATAAATATGAGAAAAAATAGATTGAAATCTTATATTTAGGATCAACATAAAAATTAAATATCAGAGCTGGTATACCCATTGCACGTTAATGTGAAAATAGCCACTGGTCATTAATAATAAGCTTCGGATGCGTTCTCTGGAAGGAGGAAGGAACGGTGTAACATTCAAAAATATATATATATATATATAGATTTTAGTTTATTTAAATGAGATTAATTAATTATCATTGAAGTTAATCTTAATTATGAGTTAGACTACTAATTAATAAATAATAGTTAAATAATAATTAATATATATTTAAAATATATAAAAAAATATAATATATAAAAAATATATATATATTTTAACAGTGGTGGCACGTGTTTGTTTTGGGGGAGGCGAGTTAAATCCCCGGTGGGCCGTGACCCACCTTTTATTTAAATAAAAAAAAAACTAGGGGGAGGAATAAGGGGTCACGTGACCCACTATAATTGAATAATTTTCCCTTCTTCCTCCTCCGTCCAGTGGCCTTCTTTTTCTCTTCGCCTTCGCGTTTTCCCCTGCTCCGTTGTCCTGTTCAGCGAGAGTGATTGAGTGTGAGGAATAGAAAGGGTTTGCTTGGGGATTTCTTTAGGATGTTTTGGTAAGTTATTCTCATCCTATCTTTTCTTATTTACCTTATTCTTTTTATTTTCCTTAAGTTATGGCAGAATAATGAATATTTTTTGAGATTGTTAGATTTTTAATTTTGAGGCCTCTAACTTATTTTGATAATATTAATGGAACTTTTGGGGTTAGAATAGAAGCTTATGACTTAGATTTTTAGTTGGATGGTCGATTTCAGGCAATATAAGTTAGAGTTTGGTTGGGAAATGGTGATTAGTATTAATGATGATATTAATTTCGAAATTTATCTCTTAGTTGAGTTCATTTGAGGTTATATTGCGGATTCAATGCTTGAACTTTGAGGATTTTTGTTGAAATAGGAGTGTTGATGATTTTTGAAGAAATTTTAACTAGTGGAAGTTGGGTGTTTTGAATAAATTAAGGAAAATATTATAAGCTATTGATTCTAATGAATGAGAAATGATTAATGGAAGAAAGGAATAGGATTTTAATAATGATTGAAGGCATAGTTGATATATGGTTATTTTTCTAAGAGTTAAAGTAAGTACTTTTTGGAGATTTTTAGATGATTTGAAGGGATTATTCTTATTAATAATGTGAATGAGAGAAATAGAGTGGGAACTACTAGAAATTGTCACTTGGAAGAATAGATGAATTATTATTTTTCCTAAAGATAATTTTTTTTTAAAGTAAACCAATTATGGGGATTTAGTTAATAAACTATTTTAATGCTATATTAATTAGTCTTTTTATATTAATATATGTTTATCAATTTATTATTGTAGAGTGAGCTTGGTTTGGGCTCTTGGGTCTTGAATCCTCCTATTTTTAGTTCTTGTGTCAAGAACTTGAGGTAACTACTATCTAATTTACCTTGTATGCTTGTTGATGTGATTATAAGCATGTGTTGATATTTTAAATGTTATCATTATATGTTATAGTGGTTTGTGTATAAAAAGTGATATACATATACATATCAAAATGTATGTTTTGATAAATTTATTAGTTAAGTGGGCATGAATTATTTTATGAATATCTTGTTGATGTTGAACAAATTTGACTATTGAATATGAGAATATGTTATGAGTAATGGATTGTGTGGAATTGGATGGTTGAGTTGTGTTGAAGTGAAATTGTGGGAGGTTTGATTATTTATACCACGTGGTATAGCCGCCACTTGGCGCCCAGTGACTGGTATTAACATTCTTAGGGCCCACGGTATCACCCTTCCTTTGGCCGGGTCAAGGGTCAGCCTAAGGGACATGACATCTTTTCATATTCTAAGGAAAGGGAACCCATGGTCCGATATGAGCTCTGTAACTTTTGGCCGAGTTACAAGGAGGTTATAAGGATGATTGATAAAGTTCTGTGCATGCAAGTTACTTTTGAATTATTATATATTGTTTTCTGTAAAGATGTTTATCTTATATGTTATTCAAAATTGTACTTTGCCTGCTTAACTATCTTGTAATCATTCACTGGATACTTGTTGAATTGGAATTGTGGTTACTGGGTCAATTTGACTCATCCCGTGGTTATTTAATATTTTTCAGGCGAGGGTTCAGGTGTTGATCCCAAGGGGAAGGTATCTGAAGCTTGAGTTTCCTTTCCACTCTGTATAGCCTCTGTTTTGGTATACATGATTTGACTGATGTATATTGCCAAACTTTAGGGCTTTTTTGTTATACTTAAACATAATTTTAACTTTTCTGCTGCATTCTGGAATTATGCTGTTGGGCGGAGCCCTTTTTGACATATTTGTGACTTTTATTTTGGTTGCGATTATTATGGGTGTTAGTGATTGTTATTCTGACGGGCTTCAAAGGCCCTAACCCATTTACAACTGGTTTTAATTGTATTTTGAGATTTTAGAATATTGCTGATGGATTTGATACATACGTTGGGAAAAAAAAAACCACGTGTTGATTACTTCTTCTTTCATTAACTATCTTTACTATTCTAGAATAATAGCTATTGTTTTGTTATAGAAATAATTTGTTAATGATTATGGTAAATTTCTATTTGATTAGTTTTATTCTTTCTACTATAGTTAATTTTTTGAGATAATTATCATTTTAAAAATGTTTATTTACCATGAGTTACGGGTGTTGTTACAAGCTCCAGATTCTTAGCAGTGCATCTATAAAACGCAGACGAAAAGCCATAAAAGACGAAAAGTCAAAGTATTGTATCAGTGAGAAGCTCCATCGGTGAGATCAAATGGGATTGGTGCTGATGACGATGAGAAGGCTTCTGGGGATGGTGGGGGAGAACGAAGCTCAGGCTCAGGCTCAGGCTCAGGCTCAGGCTCAGGCTCAGGTCAGCAGAACAGCCGGAGGCTACAACAGTGGAACCCAAGGCTCATTCAATAACAGCGGATCAGGCGCTCAAAATTTCAGAGACGTCAACTACAACAACGGCTCTTATTCCGGCAACCGTTACGATCCTCCTTACTACCACAACGCCGCCGGCGGCAACTTTATTCACATCAGTGGCACTACACATGGCAACGGCAACGGAAGCATTGTGAACAATAGAAGCCCTGTTCCTTCCAACCGAAACCCATATTGGTGATTATTATTACTAATAATAATAGGGATAATTAATCTCCAGGCCCTTACAGTTTTATCTGATTTTTAATTAGGTCCTTATAAAAAATTTTCTTTTTATCAGATCCTTTTACTTTCGTGTATTTTTAATTAGGTCCTTCTATTTTTTTTCTTTTTATCAGGTCCTTATAGTTTCACTTATTTTTTAATTAAGTGCTTTGTAGTTTTTAAAAAATTATTTATTAACTTTATTCTTTAAAATTAATTTCATTTTTAAATTAATAATTATATAATTGGACAAAATAATTAATATAATCATTTAGTAATTAATAAATAATCAGAATAATAATTATACTTAAATATAAATTATTTATAATCATATTTTAATTTTAGAAAAATTTATTATTATAATTTGAATTTTATAATTATAAAAATTTGAATTGAAAATAAATAATATATTTGTTTAACTAAAAATTTAAAAGAATATTAACATAAGATTGTTACAATAATTTATTATTTTTAAAATGTTATTCTTTGTAAAATAAAGAATAAAAACTACAAGGACCTAATTAAAAACAAAGTAAAACAATAAGGACTTGATAAAAAAAAAATTATAAGGACTTGATTAAAAATACATGAAAGTATAAGGACCTGATAAAAAGAAAAAAAATTATAGGGATCTAATTAAAAACCAGTTGAAACTATAAGGACTTATATATTAATTATCCCATAATAATATATCGTTTTTTTTCTTATGGTGAGTTTGGTCGGTTAGGTTGTATGATTGGTCTTTTAGAGTGTTTGTTTTTGACCCCCGGGTTATTAGTGGTTGTAACTTTTTTTTGACTATTAATAAAATGGACTTTTTTGCTCCAAAAAAAGAAAATATATCGTTTCAGTCAAGGCTTCTCTTCAATTGTTTTTAGGGTCTCTGTGCTGCTAATGATATCTCAGTCTTATGCGTATGATAATGTGAAGATTCGACACATATAACTCTATCAAGCACGGAAGCGGGAAATTCCTTCTTATGGTTGGATACGCGTACTTAATATGAGTATTAATAATTATTAAGAATGCATTATCTCCAAAATGTAGTAAATAATTAAATTTAATGCCAACAAGAGGTTTTGCTGCAAAATCGCAACCGTTGCTACCATTGTTATGGATGGTCTCAAATTGTCTCAAAATCTTCTTGAGTTTCCACTAGTTGATGTGTACCTAATGTGGTTGATTTTGTTTGAGACATCTTTAGTATGTCCTCTCCTGGCTAAGCTGAGCATGGTGATTTCTATGTAGGAAGGTGTGATTCACTGTTTGGTTATGTAGTCTGCAGTTATCCACCAACCCAGATACTAATGGTTAATATTGACAGAATTTGCAGCTAATTAGTTCGGTATGGGTCCAATATGTTTTCAATCACCATGGATATACTATGTTCTGAAAGTACTGTTAGTCATGTATATGGGTCATATGCTGTTAACGGTTAGCATTCAACTGGAAGCAGTAGTATCATGTCATTTTTTGGGGGCAAATGAGAGGAGGAGGGAGGGGGGAATTATTGGGTTGGATATGGTGGAAGGTTTCGGTTTGGTTTAATAATGGTTTTAGTTTTCTTGCTTTATAATGGCTTTTTCATTTGGAGTCAACACATTTGAGTGTTTTTATGCAGGTCTTAATTTTGAATGTTGACTTTTGTTTTATCACATGTCTGCTGATTTGTCGGAAAACTTGTCAGTTTTCATGTAAGATGGAGGTCTCTTTCTAGGTTCGTTAGATTGTCATTACTGGACTAGTTGTATTCACTATTTTAATTTTGTTTTCTTCCCGACAGAGGGACACTATTATTGATATCTTCTATGAGAAGCATTATCGAAGTAATAACGGCATCATGTCCTTCTGTTGCTCGTGCAAGTCGCAATTCAGTGGATCCCAGTCAAGTGTCAGACGGAAACAAAACCAGAAATATTATCAAACACATGCGAATTGTTATGCTTTTGTGTGCTGCATCACCCATACAGGATAAAGTATGTTGCTGCTGTGCATTATGTGATTGATATGCCTTTAGGAATTTGTTGCTGCTCATGTTAATTTTGAACGTGAATTTTTCTGTTGCTTGCAGGTGCAACTTCCTTTTGAACAATGTGATTCACAAAATTTTGCTTTTGACAAAAAGAAGGGAAAAATACTCAGTTGTTGGTGCTGTTCGATTTGTTCGTACTATCCTCTCTCGTCATGTGAGTCTTAATATCTGCACTAATCAAATGTTCGATGAATTTTAGGGAAATGCAGAATGTATGGTGGTGGAGTTGAGAAGCAAGTGTTTATTAACGGCAAGGAACCTCTCCATTATGCAGCCTCTCCATTTAGCCTCCATTTAAATAAAACGTTGCGTTCAACAACCAGGCACTTAAGCGATAATGAAACACACTAAAAGATGCAACCTCCTGTGGCAATAAGATATTCCCTCTTTGATTACCAACTAAAGGTAACTATGCAGGCATTACTATGGTTGCAAGAAACATCGAAGACAGTTCACCTTGAAAATTAAATGTCTTATTTAGAATGCTGTAGATAAAGCAACAGAGATAGAGGGGGTCTAGTTTGCGAAGAAAAGGAACGCATTAAAGCATTTTAAAGGGTAAGAAATAAAATAAGTGGGTATGGAAAAATGGAACCTTACCCTCTCTCTTCTCTCTACGACGAGCCAGATCTGGGTGATGGCGGGTGACAGTGAACAGGGCCATGGGTGGTGAAGACTTAGAAGAGCATAACAGGTGAAAAAAATCATAGAAGAGCATAATGGATAAAGAGAATCGCGGTAGGGAATCACGAATTATCACTAACAACAGTGAGATGTGTGAAAGAAGAGAATACTGCCATGGAAGAATAAAGAACTAAAGAGACTGAAACGATAAAGGCTCCATTGGAGTGGAAGAGACTGTAAATGTTCTTTTTTTGAAAATTTTTTTTTGCAAAACGACACCGTTTTATCTAAGTGGAGGCTAAATGGAGAGGCTGCGTAATAGAGAAGTTCTGCGCCGGTTTGTTAAATACATTTATCAAGGTAATCACGCGTATTCAATAAAGTTTTATTGGCTAATTATATAAAATTTTCTTGATATTTAAGCCATGAGGAAGTAATTTTTTACTGTTTAAACATTACTAACGAATCCTCTTCATTTCTTAGTTTGTGCAGATATTTTTTTTTTGTCTATTAGTTAGCACATTTTTTCAGTGTGGGTATACATTATTCTTGAAGATAATATATGTGCGCGCGCGCGCGCCTCTAGATTTAACTTCTTTAGCGGATAACCTCTTTAAATCTGGTGGAAAAAAAGAACCTATTTTTTTGGCCAACCAAAAAGCCATTTTAAATTTGGAGATATCATATTTAAATACATCTGTATGTTACACTTTATTAATAAATAATGGATAAATTGATGACAATGAAGTTAGTTGCATAAAAATTGTTATCTACACATACCCTTAAAAATTCAAAATTGAAAATTCAGCCGTGTGCATTATTTAGCCAGTTTTTATGAGAAGTCTAGAATGATCCTGGCATAGCTTGACCCAAAAGCCCAAAAAAATAAAAAAATGGTCTTAGCATAGGCGCCCGCCAAAAGACCCAGGTCTACCTACACCCGCGAGAATCGAAAGCCCTGAGCTCCATTCTCCGGAAGTTTCAGTTTTTTTTTTTTTCGCACCTCCCAATCTCCAGCGTCTCCTTCTTCTTGGCCCTTCCAAGATGAGTACTATGAAGTTTTGCCGCGAATGGTTGCTACCTGTTTTCCTTGCCTTCATTACGATGCTTTTACGACGTTGAACATGGGCTTCCATCTTCACATTATTTTCTTCATCTCTTGATTTCAGCAACAACATTCTGTATCCCAAGGAGGAGAAGGAGCAGAAGATTCTCCTCAACGCTTGCCGTAACTGTGACCACCAGGGTCTTGTTTAGTTTAGCTTACCTCCGCTTCCCCCCCCCCCCTCTTCCCTTTAACCTTCCTTCTTGTTCATGCGTTGCTGCAAAGTGTTAGACTTACTCAATAGACACTCTAGTTACTTATCCAACTATTTTTAGGTTTACTCTGATGACATGTTTCTCTCGAAGCAATATGCCTCATTAGAGAAAGAACTTATGGGTTTCCGCTCTGACTATTTACTCCTTCTGATGTATTTTTGCTATTGAGGAGCTTAATTATGAATTTTGATTGAAGATTCTACCGATTAAATGTTTCTAGAATGCCAAGGCTCAGATGCCTTGGTTTGTTTAGTAATCTATATATGGAAGATTGCACTATAGAAGAGCTACATTTTTCTACACTGAGTTTGATGCGAACAAGATCATCTACTCAAATCTTTTTTATAAGATGGAATATAATTTTTGAAATCTGATGTATTTTTTCTTGGTTGATTTAGTATACGAATAGCACTTGTTTACGTTCATTTTTGAGTCAAGGGACTGAATCATTGGACTTCTGTGGAACTGCTGTTCTTATATTTTCACTCCGCGACTCACATTCCATTCTTCGTAATAGTCCATTTCCGTTGTCTTCTACCCAAAGTCAAATGCAAATTGACTCATTATGTCCTTTTGAAATGTCAAGTCTTTTGGTATATGCTAATTGATTCTGCTTATAAAGCTCCTGCCATTATTTAATTTCCTAAAAACAAATTTCACCCTCTCCAAAATATTTTTGGGCTTCAAAGAGGGTTAAAGGATGCCTTTTAACCTTCATCTCAATGTTGATAAAATGCATCAAAATTATATGTTTCTTTTTTGGTGATTAACCACCCCATCCAATACTGCCAATTGATCTGGCTTTGAGTTGGGTTGAGCTCCAGTGAGGGGGAAGCTCTTCCAATGCGGTTTTTCTTCCGTCCACAAAGCTCAAATTCAAGATTTTGCTTAAATTGTGTCAAGTCTCTCACCATTGAACCCAACTGCTGTTGATAAATTAGAATACATTCATTACCATCATGTTCATTTTATTATGTAAATGAAATCTAATTGGTTTGGAAGAAACGTGCATATGATATTCTATTCCTCAATCACGTTTTCTTAGTATTTTGGGTTTTATAATTTTGATGCATGTCGATTCAAGGGCAAATTGTCCTCACTTTGTAATACCGTAAGTTATTTGATGATTGAAAAACTCGACCATCTAGGTATGTTATACTTATTTTGGTTAGTTAGTATTGTGTGGCTGCTCTGCCTCCATACTGTTTAAATGCCCAAAATCTTGGAGCCAATAAGTCCAAGGTAGCCAGACAGATGCCTATGACTTAAGGCGCAGTGGTTTTTGTTTAGAATATATTTTCATTATAGCACTTTTCTGAACCCATGTTGGTTTTATTGCCAGTGTTTCTGTTCTCATTTTTTTGCACTTCGATTATAAAGTTTGTTTTACACTGCTATGCTTTCTTATAAAAATTAATTGCTGATGTTTTTGCTATGGAGGAATTGCATCCAATTTCACATGAGTATGCTCAGCCACATACCTGTTGATCAGTTACTCGTCATTTTCTGGAGGCTGCAGATAATAAATGTGTCTATAGAAATGAGATACATCATTCTGTTGGGGAGCGCACTCAAGTGCTGCAGGATGTAGCTGCAGATCCTACTCTTCCACGTACAAAGTCTGTTCGTTGTACTCAATGCGACCATGGAGAAGCTGTTTTTTTCCAGGTTAAATCCCTCTTCTACCTGTGGGCAGTTTTGCATTAAGATGGGAAGGGAGGGGAATGATAACAATTTGTGGTCAATCATGAATCTACTCTTGGGAACAGCATGAAACTGATAACTTCCTTAATATTAGCACTAAATGGTCTAATCTAAAGTTAGGAAAACCAGATTGTGGAGCGGAGGGAGAACTGTTATGTATGGACAGTGAAAGAAATAACTGTAACTCAAAGCTAAGCCTGAAGATACAGACTATGCTAAAATTTTCCTGACAGTGAAATAGCGTCTTCAATAACATTATACTTAAGTAGTCGGAAGTGGGATGATACGATGTCATGACTGTTCATTTATTGAACTGATAAAAGCACTACTTTACAGTTTAGTAGTAGTTGGACAGTAGTCAAATCAGTAATAATCAAATGTACGTATTATAAATTAAAATTAAGGGCGCACACCCACGTATTATTTAAAATCTATTATAGTAGATAAGAACATAGTTTTTATTTGCAGTTGAATTTGATTCTCAAATGACGTAGGAAGACAATAGCATATAAAAAGAGCATATATGTCAAAATCTGGGGGGTGTTGTTATGGTGTCTATTTGCATGATACAGGTAAAACGGATGATATATGATTTAGGGCGATTTACTTATTTTTAGAACACAACATGCTTTAGGTACACTGGTTTGGCCATCTTTTTCTATGGCATTGACTCTGATTTTCACTTTCTTTATAGACGTGTAGCTTGTAATTAGTTGAAGGAAGCTACATAAGATTTGTTCCAGTACCACCAATGCCCATAAGCTTGTCGTGTTAGACAGAAGTCGGACAAATGCAATATTTTGTTTGATTCTGCAGATTCAAAACACGAATGTAGAAGTACTTTGGTTTTAACAAGTTTTTGAATCTATGCAGGCGACGGCCAGAGGAGAAGAAGGTATGACACTGTTTTTTGTTTGCTGCAACCCAAAATGTGGCCACCGGTGGAGAGATTGAAAATGTTGCCCTCTCAAATCGAGGTTGGAGATCTAACATATCACTCTTGTTTGTTGCCATGTAAAACTTGGTTGATGAGAGGAAATTCATTCTCAAGTATTGGTGGCTTTTAACTGCACTTCCCAGAGCAAATTGTTCAGCCATATGATGCTTTATCGACAAATATTGAAAACCTTCTATATGTGAATAATTTTATCGTAAATGCTAACTAAATCAAAATAGACAACAGATTAGTGATATATGAAACTGGAGGTGGCATTCGGGAGAGGATATATGGCAAGAACTCTTTCTGCTCATCGTTCTTTTCTCTTCTCAAACTCCCAAGTATTCGGAACTGGAGGAGGGAAGTCTAAAGATAAATATAAAATAGTACTAAATAAGGTACAAGTTACTGAAAGATCAGTTTAGCTAATAGAGAATATCATTAACTTGGTTACCCAGAAGCACTTGCTGAGATAAATCATCACAGACGCAGCAGAGATTTTCTAGGCCTTTTCTCTGACAAGGGAGTAGTACATGGTGTTTATTTATAGTAGAGTTACTTTATGCACCGAGAGTAGTAAGTGGTATGGGATCACTTAATGAGGCTGGGAGCCTTGAGAACTCCATTAACATCGCCATGGAATTGATGTTAGTGTCGTTGCTTAAACCAATAAGCTTTTGATTATCACCGTTGAGGAGAGCAGGTGAAGATGGTGGCGAGCCGCTATTCAGTATTTTGGGAATGGATCAAGGTTGAGGTTCTACAGCATGTTTGCTCTGAGGATCACCACCATTTATGAAGTCGGCTAACCCTCGAACCAAACGTGCCATTATGGAAACACGTTTATGCACAACTTCTCTTGGTTTTCGTTGCTGCGCTGCACACACTACCTTGTAAGGGAGTTGGCCCCTTTATTATATATAGAGGGCCAAAATCAGATCTTCATTGCATGTCATATGGCTTGAATACGAAGCTAAGTCCGCAAGTTGCCTCTTGGAAGGAGATTCTGTAATTGATAATGATAGATTTTTTTTTTTTTTTAACCTGAATCGATAATATAGGTTCGTTATAATAGTTTCGCAGTGGCGTATCAATGTGCAAGAAAAAGCATTGGACAATATATTGTTTTCGGAATATCTAGATATCGATGTTTCAAGCATATGCTGTGATTAAACTGAATTCTCTCTCTCTCTCTCTCTCTCTCTCTCTCTCTCTCTCTCTCTTATTGTTCGAATGATTTGTATTGAACTACTGATCATCTTATAAATTTAGTATCTCTTATAGGATCTGTTTCATCTAGGTTTTGAAAAACTTGGTTAACTAATTTTGATCAGAACTTAATAAACGTTCAAGACTTTTAAGTTATATGACGGGGACAGAAAGTCTAGTTAAACAATACTTTTAGAAGAATCAAAAGCAAATAAATCACCATAAGCGATGACTTCATGTTACTTGCATTATTGAATCGTCTTGTCGTTTTATTTACACCATAAGCGATGAATGCATGTCGTTTTCGGAACCAAGACGATCAAATGTTAGTGGTCGCGGAGTGTCTCTCTTTATCTCGCCATTATCAGGTAGGAACCTTCATACAAAATTTATAAGGAAAAATTGCAGTATTTAATTTACTATTTAGTATTATCTTTTATTTTACTAAAATTATATAATATAGTTAGGAGGATTATTTATGTATAACTCAAAGTTTGAGGTATTTTTTTTTAAAAAAAATGAAATTTAAAAGAATAGTCATATTTCAATAACAAAATAATTGATGGCTGATAAACAACTGCACAGAATAAACTAAGACATGCATCATCATTTTGAGTATTCACCTCGTGTCTTGGTGGCGACCAAGAATGAATGGTGGGAAATACTACTAATTAAGAAGGAAAATGATATATAACAGATTATGAAAGTAGAGCGTGATAGATGATAAGAATCCATTGAATTGGTAAACACTGCTCAAATTTTGTAGTGATTCATAATAAATATGAAAATGGCCGATAAGAATAGAAAGAGCTCTATCATTGGAGATCGATCAGACAGAACTCACTCACTGCGAATATATGTATACTCATATTACATCTTTAGCACTAACATAACATTCGTGGCTTCCATCCCGGCTTCGCTGCTGCTCCTATTCGCACTCTTCACAGCAAATCTTCGCATCACAGGTCCTCATCTGATTTGCAGGCTATTTTCTTTGTAAGATTACTCTCTGCAACCATAAATATATATATATATATATATATGTATGTATGTATGCAACTCAGACAGCACAGAAGTAAACATATGCATAGCAGGCTCGGTTGCAATTAAAGCTACATAGAGTCGAAGAAAATCCTAGCTTGTCTGTATGTTTGGCCTTTTGTAATATATGTATATATATAGAGCCAAGTGATCAATAGTCATGAAATTGTTCTAAGTATATAATGGTTTTTACTGGGGTATATATGCATATTAATTTCTCTTTTCTTTGAAACAGAATTAGATTAGAGCTAGAAATCAGCATTGATATTAGTGGCCTAATTAAAAGCAAAAGCTTGCTTACTCAGAAGAAGTTACAAACATTATCCAGTGTTTGACATAATTAGGTAAGAAGCCCATTTCCTCGGGTAGTGATTGATTAAGCAAAAATTTGCGGCACAGCAGGTGGCCAAATAGGCGTTTGCTATGGCATGCTGGGCAATGATCTGCCATCTGCTCGCGAGGTTGTGGATCTTTACAAAGCCAACAACATTAAGCTCATGAGACTGTACGATCCCAACCAAGAAGCTCTTGAAGCTCTCAGAGACTCTGGCATCGACCTCATGCTCGGCGTCCCAAACACCGACCTTCACCGGCTCGCCACCAACGCCGACGACGCCCGTGAATGTGTTGAAAACAGCGTTTCCAAATTCTACCCCTCCGTCAACATCAAATACATCGCCGTCGGAAATGAAGTGAACCCCGTCGACGGAGCCAACAGACAGTACGCCCCGGGCCGCACGTCCTTCCGGCGATCCAAAATGTGTATCAAGCCATACGTGCGGGAGGCCTTCATGAGAAGATCAAGGTCTCAATCTCCATTGACATGACCCTCATAGGAAAGTCATATCCTCCCTCTCAGGGTAGCTTCCGAGATGACGTCAGATCATACTTCGATCCTATCATAGGCTACTTGGTGTTCGCAAAAGCGCCCTTATTCGCCAATATATACCCTTACTTCGCCTATAGTAGGAGCCGGCCTGGCGACATACCTCTGAATTACGCTTCGTTCACTGATCCAAGCATGCTGGTTCAGGATGGTTCGAGAGGGTACCGGAATCTGTTTGATGCCATGTTGGACTCGTTGCATGCAGCTTTGGATGGTACGAGGATTGGGCCGGTGAAAGTGGTTGTATCGGAGAGTGGGTGGCCTTCCGCTGGTGAGGAACATGCCACTGAGGAGAATGCTAAGACTTACTTGCAGAACTTGATTCCTCAGGTTAACACAGGTACTCCTATGAGGCCTGAACCTGTGGAGACATATCTTTTCGCTATGTTCGATGAGAATAAGGAGGTGGGACAATAGACAGAGAGACATTTTGGGCTCTTCTATCCCAACAAACAGAACAAGTACCCCTTTGGTTTTGGGACATAAGAGTGCTCATATAATATATGTGTGTGTGTGTACACTCAGTTAAATAGCTCTTACATATTAAAGAGCCAGGTAGTACTATTTAGTTGAAACGTTTGCTCTATAAAGAACTAATATTCAGTTAACGGTGAGAAATGATATAAGTACGGTATGGTCCTCTCTCTCTGAGATTTCGTTTTCGAATGATGAACATATACGTCTTACGTTATAATTTATAAAATATTTGTTTTCCTCGCAAGTTAATTTTTGTATGTCGAAGTTCTAATTGATGTCTTCAATTTCTCTTTAAAAAATTGTAAGTGTGTTGTAATAAATTCGGTTACAATAATGCAAGCATCTAAGCATATACATTATCATATTCAAAAATTCATAAAAATACTGTGAAAAGAAAGAATGAAATGGACGGTAGTTAAGCAAGTTAATTATCTATCACATCTATAGTTTAGTATAGTAGTGGTGGAGAATTTCAGTTTCGATTTTAAATTTCAATTTTCAAGTGTTAAAAAGGTATAATGGATGAAATAAAGCTGATACTTGAACACGGTGTGTGATTAGAATAGGAGGGCAAGTTTTACAGCTAATTGTGAGATGTGTGAAGCCTTTAGACAGGCAGAATTGATGAAAAGGAAAAATGATAAGTGATATGAATGAGATTTGGAATCCGAACGATGAAATAGGGATGGCTCAGTCTGTCTGTTTTGGCGTATTTGTGCATCCTCCCTCTTTCACGCAGAAACGTGTATATGTATATGTATTTGTATATGTATGTATGTATTTTGAATGATTCGTTTGATACATGCCATTAATTGTAATCTGAATGGAACAGATTATATCCTTAAATACCATAAATATTTCATTTAAAAGTCATGTGTATTTTTAATATTCAAAAAACGTAATAATTTCAAAATATTTTTCAGACATAACAAAATAAAACATTGAAATCTTATAATTATTGCAAATAAAAATATAACATAGTATGTACTTGAGGAGTACAAAAGCTTTCACGACTCACTCCATCGGGGCCTTCTCTTGATTCCTACTAGATCCTTCACCTGAAAATGTTAATATAAGGGATGAGATCTAACGTCTCAGTAACTACTGAAATTCTAACATACACAAGCAAATCATATATATGATAAACAAAAATCTGTTTATATGTGTGTATATATTTGTGTATGAAAATCACGAATTTATACATTCAACTCAATTTCATTTTTAATTCAACAATATACCAATATCATTTTTTCAATATATCCAAAAATAATACAATATGTAACTTCTCTTATATCATTATCCACCCTTATACCGCTGACTGGAGTCACAGGCTAACACATAGTTCAATAGAAATAAATTCATTTTACTGGATTATTTCAAACTCACTGATACTTAAGATATATCCTGCTAAGGATATAGAGCTTAAGTTTAGACTATGGCTCCCCTTCCTTGAAAATAAAATAAGGAGGTGTCACATGTCTCACAGTTTCAATAAATTCCTGACTAAAAGAAAACATGGAAGAAGGAGCCTTGACAAGTGCCATCCACTGTGCATCAAGT